AAGTAAGTAGGCTCGAGGTCCCAGCTCTGAGACTTCGCATTCCAGTCGAAGTGAGGACCCCAGACAGTCATGCGGTCGTGCTCCTTGTACAGCTGGGCAAGCTCATTGTACATCTTTGAGTAGTCGGACGTGGCATTCAAGACCTTGGTGGTCTTCTTCAGGAGTTGGGTAGGCTGGACCTTGATAGTCAGCTCCGTGATTAAACCAAGGGCACCAAGACTGATACGGAAAGCCTTCAATTCTTCCGCATTGTGCTTCTCGTTGATGACACGCAGGCCTCCCTGCGAGTCCAACACACGAAGCCCGATAATCTGGGTTGCGATATTCCCGATGTCGGATCCAGAACCGTGGGTACCGGTGGAGGCAGCACCCACAAAGTTCTGAACACGCTCAACACCGAGATTGCTGAAGGACAAGTCGTTGGCTTTGAGCTCTTGGATAAGGTCATCGACATCCCAGCCGGCACCAAAGGTGACGGTCATGTTCTTCTTATCGATATGGAGCTTCTTCAGATTGGTGAGAGAAACGATGTAGGTGGGCTTCTCAGTGAGAGCATTGTCGACACAGGTAGTGAGGTTACCAAATCCATGACCATTCCCAACAACTTTGATATGGGAGCCCTTAGGGTACTGTTCCTTGAGGAACTCGGCGGCGGCATGCTCATTATGAGGAGCAATATAGGCGTCAGACTGGCAAGTGACCTCAAACTGCCAGTTGAACCAGCGGTAAGCAGAGCCGAACACTGCGTGCAGCAGCAACAGCAAGAGAGCCGGCTTGGGACTCAGCATTTTGATATCTATGGAATCTCCATCTCAGCAAACTACTTGGCATGGGAGAAGTTAATGAAAGACTCACAGGAATAGGAATGCTCAAACTATAAACAAGATTGTCTCACAAGAAGAATTCCTGCAATAGTCCGCCCGCGCTGAAAAGACGGAGGTCCAAAGGAGACCGGAGAGCGAAGACACATTATATACACGCAAATTAGCTCACGTTTCAAATACATGTCACTCCTGGTTATATTGTAACGGATTGATGAGACACTCCACTCTCGAGCAAATTTTGCATTTCGACTGGAGCATTCTAACCCGTATCGCCTGTTATTGAGTCACTGTCGATCAGGCGGGTGGAGAGGGACCTGCATAGCGGGAAGTTGAGCATAAAAGATGTATGGAATATATGAGATTATTTGCCATTGCAACCCCTTTTATTATGCAGGTTGTATATTTGGCCTGAGCTTCCCAGTGTATTAAGCGTAGTTAGCAAAAGATCGAACACACTACACTACTTTACCTGCAGAATGCTGCTGTACTCTGTCAGCCCACTAATGTTTCCTCGGACGCTGCTCGGATCAGATAAAATTTCGAACGGGATCATCATGCTATGATGATCTTAATTAAAGAACATTCCAATGCTTGGTAAATTCAAATCGTCAGTACCCACTTTTTTGGCTATCCGTTAAACTCAATTCCAGACCTTCTCAATACCTTATTTGCCGCAGGCACACCGAGCGAGCGGATTTGGGTTGATCAAGCCTATCTAGGTACATCTTATCAATCACAACGTGGCAGTGCCAACATTGGAACATTCCAGGAAGAGAAGATTGATAACGCACTCGGGCCTTAATTGTAACCTATCATCGCCCGTCCTATCTTACAAGGCTCCATTTTGTCCAAACCCAAGTTGTCGGTGAAGAAAGTGGCTTCAAGGATCCTTCCGCGTTTTACTAAATTTTAAACGTGATCCACGTGGATCCACTGGATCTCCGTGTCCGAAGGAGCAAGAAAGTGATCGACGGAAACATATGACGATGACCATAACCTACCTACTACCATAAAACTCTCCAAATAACTTCATGTGACTAAGGAGCAAAGGCTTCAAAGCCAACAATAATCTCGAAGGGGTAGAGAGAGACCTGACGAACTGCATGTAAGTAACCCATGGGCATGGCTTCGATGCAACAGAACCCCAGGTCCTAAAAATTATATGTTCTTTGACAATAAGGCGCTACAACTGTACGATTGACAGTAGGTCCGCTTATTCTGATTCTCGCGATCCCAAGGTTGAATACGTACGTATCTCCAGTAGCCCACAATTCATTACCTCTGACAAATGAAGCCGATGAACACATCGTTTGAGCTTGGCTTCAATCTTGGGCCTCTTACGGAGCACACGAATCAATGTCCATGTGACGAGTCTCTGCTCGAAGTTTTATGTATAGTATGTAGGAAAAAAAATCTATATATTCCCACTCTCTCGAGTCGTCGAGGATTTTTATTGTATAGCAACCGATTCAGGCCCTTTCCCCCCACTTTCTCCCCTCCGTTTCAGGTTGTAGCCCGAGATGAACTCCTTAATCCTCTCATTTTTCCTTATCTCTACAGCTGCATCCCAGAGCTACCTCCCCTCTGAGCAGATCGATGTTCAATCCAGTCTTCTTTCTGATCCGAACCAAGTCGCCGGCAAGACAGTTGACTATATAATTGCGGGAGGTGGTTTGACAGGCCTGACTGTCGCAGCCAAGTTGACTGAGAACCCCAACATCACGGTCCTGGTCATTGAAAACGGCTTCTATGAGTCCGCCGATGGAGCCATTATTGAGGATCTGAATGCCTACGGAGACATTTTTCGCACCACCGTTGACCACGCCTACGAAACCGTTCCTCACGCAATTAATAACCGCACCGAAAACATTCGATCTGGCAATGGTCTTGGAGGATCAACTTTGATCAATGGTGGCTCTTGGACACGCCCCCACAAAACCCAGATCGATTCCTGGGAGAGGGTGTTTGGAAACAAGGGCTGGAACTGGGATAACCTGTTCCCATATATGCAGAAGGTCGAAACCTCTCGTCCTCCAAATGATGTCGAGATTGCCGCTGGTCATTACTATGATTCTGCTTGTCATGGAACGAACGGCACTGTCCATTCTGGTTTCCGTAACACCGGAGAGGCCTATTCTCCAATAATCAAGGCCCTTATGAATTCTTCCGAGGAACGAGGTGTCCCAACCAAGCTAGACTTTCACTGCGGTGTCCCTCGCGGTGTTTCTATGATTCCCAATGCGCTACACGAGGACCAGACTCGCTCGGATGCTGCACGTGAATGGCTTCTGCCGAACTACAAACGCCCGAATTTGCAGGTTCTGACGGGCCAGTTTGTTGGAAAGATCCTTATCAATAAAACCGCTATTTCTGGTCACAAAACCGGTCACAAAGCCGTTGGTGTAAACTTCGGCACCAACAAACATGTGAATTCCAATGTATACGCCAAGCACGAGGTACTGCTAGCGGCTGGCTCTGCTGTCTCACCCCGAATTCTGGAATACTCGGGTATCGGCTTGAAGCCTGTACTCGATGCTGCTGGTGTGCAGCAAATTGTTGATCTACCTGTCGGTCTCAACATGCAGGACCAAACCACCACCACCGTGGCCTCCCGTACCAAACCCTCCGGCAATGGTCAAGGTCAGGCTATCTATTACGCTACTTTCAATGAGACGTTTGGAGATTTCGCTCCGCATGCTCACCACTTACTCAACACCAAGTTGCACCAGTGGGCTAGCGAGACTGTTGCGCGCGGTGGTTTCCATAATGTGACTGCCCTTGAGATCCAGTACCAGAACTACCGTAATTGGCTGAATGATGAAGTCGCCTATTTGGAGCTGTTTCTCGATACATCCGGCAAGATCAACTTTGACTTGTGGGATCTGATTCCGTTTACCCGTGGTTCCGTGCATATCCAAGGAAACGACCCCTACCTGCGACGCTTTTCCTACGACCCCAAGTTCTTCATGAACGAGCTGGACCTTCTTGGCCAGGCTGCTGGGTCGAAGCTTGCCCGCGAGATTTCCAACACTGGTGGTATGCAGACCTACTTTGATGGCGAGACTACACCTGGGTCTAACTTGGCCTACAATGCCGACTTGGACCAGTGGGTGGATTATGTCAAGCAGAACTTCCGTGCCAACTGGCATGCTATCAGCACATGCTCGATGATGAAAAAGGAGCTTGGTGGAGTTGTGGATTCTGCGGCGAGAGTTTATGGTGTCGAGGGCCTTCGCGTTGTTGATGGCTCGATCGTGCCGACTCAAGTGTCTTCCCACGTCATGACTGTGTTCTACGCTATGGCTTTAAAGATTTCTGATGCTGTCCTGGCAGACTTCCATGCTAAGTCTCCGAAGCACTGATGACCGAAGTTTACGATCGATCATTATGCGACGGGAAACTGGTTATATAGCTCGTATCGGTGTTCATAGCTAGGGGTGTGCTTCCATGTTGTCTGCTTCGTGTTGTTTTACTTATCCGTTGCCTTTCATTTCTATATTCCCCTTACCACTTATTAGTCTATTAAATATTGATATTTCGTGATTATTCTTAATATAGCATACTGGATTTTGGCGCTAAGCTTCGAGAAACAACAGAATGAGCGTAGATTGCTATTTCCTTGGAAGGCTAAGGACATATGTGGGTTGGGTGTTGGGTCGAGGTCCTCGACTCAACTGTGCGTTTTAGCGAAAACTACCTAGGTATTCTGCGAGCATTGGTGAGCAAGCTAGGGCACTCATATGATGATCCGTGAGTGGACCAGAGCTCAGGGTATGATCAGCGATGCTCAATGAGCACCTGGCCCGGGGGCTCAAGTTAATTATGTAATGGCGCGTGATCCTGATCAAAAATAGGCAACATATGAGCACTAAAACGGAAAGGGAAAAGCTTCGTGTTCCATTTATCTGGCAATAACAAGAGGTATAAGAATATAATGGAGCAATGAACTGCATTTTGAGGCCCCGTCTTCCCATTAAAAAGTATTCTCTCAAAGTCCCTTTGACTCATGGCAAAACCAAGTGCTAAAAGACTGCCCATGAGCGGCCACAATGCCATGTCAAAATCAATGCTAAATGTCCCAGCAAACGCGTGTGTTGAAGGACTTCCAAAGTGTTCGTTCTGACAAGTTCAGGGGCTTTTGCAAGACAATGACCTTTCCTGAACTGCATCTCCCTACTATTGATTTTCAGGAGCATTGACCCACGGACGAAAAGGACGAAGAAGTGATCTCCGGACCCGCTTCTGGTACTGACGCAGAGCCGGGTTGAACTCCAGCTGCTCGTCTGGCAGGCCAATTTGGATATTATCGTTGAAGATCTGGTTCATTCTGCGACGGAACTCTTCTGATGATCGCCGGCGAAGACGTCCTATTTGAGTCGCATTAGTTTCGCTGTTCAACACCTACAACACGGAACGTGACTTACTCAAGGGTCCTGAGCTCCGTTTGCTCTCCGATGAAAGAATAGAAGCAGCGTCACTGAGGGCCGGGACATAGTTCTCGTCGTCATCAGTGCCATCCAATCCTACTCGGTAGTCCTTCGTGTCTTTCATGTCGGGATCAGAGGTTTTACCGAACAGTCGCTTGTGGAAGCTAGCCCGCTTTTCGTTACCTGCTGTATCCTTCATGCCGATCAGTGACTCCTCCCGTGCAGGCGACATGCGCATTGCATTTGGGTTGATGGGCAGACTGGCTCCGCTATATATTCCGCCGGGTCTGTGGTTCTCGTAGGTGAAGCCTGCGGAGGCCAGGTCGAGCTCGGAGACAACTTCACGTCGGGCAGCCGGTGGCATAGGCTTTGGGCTAATCATGGACCCCCTGAGATCCCACCGAGGACCTGAGGGTGTCAACGGCCCTATGCATCGATCTTGGCGCTGGACTGACCGGCCGACTTGGAACTGGAGTTGCGGGCTGGGGACTCTGCGTTGGTGTGTTTGGTTCTGAAATCCAGATTCCTTCAACTTCTATTCCTCTTTCCAAAGCTCTGGCGCCGAAAGGTATGTCATCCTTTTGTAGCATTGGGTGCACCTCGGCTTGCTCCTCTCGCTCTTTTGCCTCTGTCGCATTGTGTTTGTTCATCATCCAGCGATTCCACCCGAGGACACAAAAGGCGCAGAAGAGAGTCAGAGCCTGCAGAGCTTGTCAGTTGGTCTCTTTGTCGCGTTATCATGGCCATGGAGTCACGTACAATCAGCATGGCCAGTGCCTGTCAACGATAATGGTCTACGGGTCAGCAGGGGATCTCGTAATCATAAGATAAGTACCTACCACGCTCAGCTTCTCCCATAGCTCCCAGTCCACCCAAAACGCCATAGTTGCTGGTTACTGAAAATGTACTCGGCCTTTGCCCGCACGAAGGTCATCCGAGTGAGAGTGTCCAGAATTGGGACATGGATGAAAAGGATTCACAGGTAAAATATACACTGGAAAGTGTTCTTGGAATCAGAGATGAGAGCAGAGGCGATCTGCTTTGGGGAACGGGGAAAGGACCCAAATGTTAGGCAGTCATGGAAGGAACGTCTGCTTGAATGACCGTACATCTCCATCTCTACATGAGCACTTTTCTTATTATTTTCTCTTTTCTTTTCCCCTATTCAAGGTCTGTCTGTATCTGAATAGTAGAAACTTGTGAGTACTCGTTATACAGTCCTACTTCCATGACTACATCTCTTTAAGATACCAAATACTGATCATGCGTCACAGTAATCACAGCTATTAAAAAAGAAACACGAAAAACGGCCAATCATGTTAATTCCGTACAAGGAAGAAAAAAAGAAAGTGCAAAAAGAAATCTCTCCCTCGGGGAATCGAACCCCGGTCTCCCGCGCTTATCGGTATTAATGACAAGCGGAAATCATCACCACTAGACCAAGGAAGATGGGATGGCTGAGTTACTGCTCGGCCACTTGGCTGGTTGATGTAAGAGTCTGCCTCTATTGGACTCATGAGTGAAAATGTAAGAATCCATAAATTGGTTATTCTGAAATATGGTGATATGATGAAAGTCATTTTTCCACCAACTTTTATGGAATGTCCAATTCTTCTAAGCCCTTCTCTCATTCGTAATTATTAAAATCATTCCGAACTTGGATTAACGGCGCAATTGTGCTAAGGGGTACTAAAACAAATTGGCAAATTGGCTTAAGCGCCTTCGATTATATATATTCTCCCATCGCTCCACATGTTCGCAACCACAGCCAACCAACCAAGCCAGATGAAATCAATAAACATCATCAGACACGTACTCAAAACACTGCAATGCACCCCAGGCTTTATTTCGAGGAGACAAGTATCCAGTCTTATGATTCTGACAGCCCTTAAAAGGCGGATAGGTCTCTCCTATCCAGTCCTCATCTCTACATTTCTTGCCCGAGTAGAGCCATACACTTACCCGATGTGATAAAAAATGACTTGGGGCTTGAGACCTTACTGGAGGCACAGGTGTGCCAGTCGAGACCACCGTCAGACCACCATCGACAGGAAGTGGTTGTATCCGAGATTTTGGTGTTGGTATCCTCGGCAAGAATAATGCAATTGCCCGTATTCTGGTCTTCGTGTCCTTGAATAGAGAAGTAATCGCCTTCACATTTATCATCCTCATAGATTGTCATTTGCCAAGTTGCAGTCGGAGCGACACTGGTCGTGGTTTTGCTTGGTGGTGGGACCAATTTTATACTGGTCAAGGTTACCATATCCGCTTTCTTTTCCGAAGTAGTCGTTTTTGAAGAAGTCGGCTTTGGAGCAGTAGTGGTCTTCAAAGTACTCGTCTTCGACGTGGTCGTCTTTGAAGGAGCACTTTTGGTAGTGACATTCTTTTGCTGAGACTTCGTTCCACAATTGGAGAGACAGTTGATATAGCAGAAGGCCGAGCCAGTGCCACATTTACCAGACCTAGCACACTGAAAATATAGTTAGTAGAGGCCAAAACGATACGGACAACTATACACTCACACATTGGTCTTTGGGGCATGGGTTTAGAGAGGCCAGGTCAGCATAGTTGCCAGGGCGTCTTGTCCCGGGAACCTGGGGACCACAGGTAGCTTGCGGGAGAGCAACCGGCATGGGAAGGGCACCGGAGCTGAGACAAACAAAATTGCCTTGCGTCACATTTGCACAGCCTGACCAGCCCCAGGACCCGGTATTCCAAGTTTCGATATCGCTCGTAGTGATCTTGTAACGCTCAGCAAGCTTGGCGCAGGTATCGCCCGGCTGAATGGTGTAGGTATAGCACACACCATCACCACTTGGTGCAAACGCACCGCGCTTGTCGACTGAATGGCCATGAGAGTTGCCAATGCCATGCCCGGATTGGGCTGTTGCTACGTGGGCAAACAGCAGAGAAAGGAGGATATGAATGAAATTCATTGCATTGAAAATACCCTTGAGCGTAGTTCTCTATCGAGGAGATCGATCCGTCCTTTATAGATAGTTCAATATGCGAAAAAAGAAAAATCTCGATGAAGATGTCGGAATGCGCACATGAAACACTAGATATCAAGTTCAGTTCACTGTTCAACTACAGAACCCAGGAACCTTGCAAGGCTCTGTTCTATGGGCGAGTCTTAACAATTAATTTTCAACAAAGAACAATATCACACCCCACATACCAACATCCTCGGTTTCCCCTTTGTTCCCTTACACGATATCCAAGACAAAGGGGTCCGGAAGAGCTGGGATAAATACATGAGTTCAGCAAGTATAGCGTGGGAAATTTGCGCATAGGGAAACGCTCAAATACATCAACATCCAGGTGTGCCCAAAAAATATTAAGGCAAGAGTTGGCTAGAGAATGTGCGGATGCAGACCAAACAGAAAACAAAAGAAGTGAAAGACCTCAGATCCTGGATAGAGCTGAAAGGAAACAGACAGAAGACCGAGAGAATGCTAAGAACAAAGAGAGGATGTAGCAATGAATAGGCTTATTCGCACCAGCGCCTCTGGCGGCTCTATTGAGACTCTGTCCGAAAACAGTGCTCAATAGTGCTTATGAAGTCACATACTGCCTATCCTAACACAGGAGGCAAAAAGATCTCCTTTCAACTTTCGAGTCATGCGAGGATCCACGCGGATATTTTCTTTCGTGATATATTTATCCCAGTAGATTTGAATATTGGGGAGACAGGTTTCCTTGTACCAACAACCCGTTCAATAGTTACATACTTGATATGGAGTAGTTATTAGGCAAGCCAAGAGATGCTGAAAGGAGGACAACCGAAGTGTAAAAGAGAATACCAACCAGTGTCGCCAAAAGTACCAGTACAAGGCTGCCTATACATACAACACAGCAGTCTGCGAATACTATGCTAGCAATGGCGCAGAGTGGACCCATAATCTCCATCAGGCACGTTGCAGCAAATGATATCTATTCGATAAGATTCAGTCCACGTTATCAACTCCTGGAAGCTGGTTGGAACCACGCGCAGAGTCCAAGTGCTGTGGCTTGAAGACCCGGGACTTGAAGAAATTGTGTTAGGCTTTTCTTCACAGGAGGAATAACTTACCTCAATTCTTATGGGTTGTTACTAGAAGAAATTGCGGCATCACTGTCCAATGATCTCACAATTCGATTCGGAGATTATTATCAAATGAAGTTAGCGTGGGCTTAGCTTGTCTGTATGCAAGTCAGCACGAGTCTGCACGCGGGAATTCGGATGCAGGGGTACTGTTTCTTCTCACCCAAACTGAGGGGAATTCATTCGGGAAAATCACTACGGTGTCTTGTTCCTGGAGTCAATCTTCTTCTGAGATCATGCTGCCACACCAGCAGCCAACCATGTACAACTACGAACTGTCCGTATAATTATTATCTAGGAGCAGACATATTTAAATAGCTGTATCCACTTTATTCACACATTTATCCACCTCTCCCGCTTTTTCTCCTGGGCATCATTGCTTGTTGAAAGCTTGGCACTCTTATCACTGACAGGCTAATGGTTAGAGGACAAGCCTGTATTAGCTTCCAAGCCACAGTTACATGAAGTTGCTAATGCTTACCGATAATTCTCGCTGATGCGCCCTGAGAAGAGCGATCACTTCCCTATTAGTTCGGATGATCATCCCACGCTGCTTTTTAATCTATATCGACACCTCTAGACCCCGTCGGAAATCCGGAGGGCTGGAGCTTGTACCAGTTCAGTGTTCATGAGAAACAGGAAATACCATTGGATCAATACTCTAGCCTTTGCTGATTATGCCTGGACGTGGTGCACGGAATAGGTCCGAGCAATTCAGGCATCTGGGTACTTGTGACCTGAACCTGCGAGTAGTTGCGCGGTTAAAGTGAAATTCTTCAAGCTACGGTCCACCCTAGGTTTATCTATCGGTCTCCGGCGGGATGAGAAGATATGAGCTGATGTTACATTGAGAAAGTTGCGCTGAATGTGCATTAGTTCGAGTACTTCGGGATTATTGTGTCTTATTTTCAATGAAGCTACGACAGCTATATAAACGACAACTTCCCTGGTGTTGTCTCGCTATTCACACAGTCAAGCTACTCCAGTTCCTTCCATCGAAAAGTTCAGTCATCCAGTCTGCACCATGAAGTTCTCGACCACCATCCTCAGCGCAGCGTTGCTCACAGCGTCGGCCATTGCCGCTCCTCTCACCGAACGCCGCGCAGCTCGCCACGCCGCCCGAGCTGCGGCCCGAGCTGGCCGTATCAGCCGTCCGGCCGATAAGCAAGACACCTTGGAGCTTGTTAGTCTGAACGGGACAAGCCACGCGCAGTACAGCTCGAACTGGGCCGGTGCTGTGCTCATTGGTACCGGATACACCTCGGTCACCGGAGAATTCACCGTTCCCAAGCCGAAACTTCCCTCGGATGCTTCGTCTGGCGAGCAGTCCTGCGCCTCTGCCTGGGTCGGTATTGACGGTGACACCTGCAGCTCGGCCATCCTCCAAACTGGAATTGATTTCTGCATCCAAGGAGGCGAGGTTTCGTACAGTTCCTGGTATGAGTGGTACCCGGATTATGCCCACGATTTCTCCGGCATCGATATCTCCACTGGAGATGTGATTAAGCTCACTGTGACTGCTACCTCCAAGAGCTCCGGTTCTGCCGTCATCGATAATGTCACCACGGGCAAATCTGTCACTCATAAATTCAGCGGTGTTGATGATGGAGATCTCTGCGAGACCAATGCTGAATGGATCGTCGAGGACTTTGAAAGCGGTGGTCAGTTGGTTCCCTTTACCAACTTTGGAACTGTGACATTCACAAAGGCGGAGGCCACATCTGGCGGCAAGTCTGTTGGCCCATCTGGAGCTACCCTCTTCGAGATCAGACAAAGCAAGAAGGTCTTGACCAAGTCTTCTGTTACAGGCAATAGTGTTACTGTGAGCTATGTCTAAGGTTAGATAGAATGGTTCTATCAACCTCTGCCTCAGTATTGGAAGATTGAAAAGCAATATTGGACTGCACTGGTGGGCTTAAGAGCTGGGATATTGTAAATGAAACATGTTTTGGCAAACGAGAGTTGATACTAGTTTGTGGTAAATAGATTGGAAGCAGATCGGATTCATTTCACCTTGGTCTTTCCCTCTAACGTCTTTACCTTTCCCGCCCGAGTCCCTGGCAGCGAACCCAGCGTCGTTCCTCTCCTTGATAGATGCGTATTCGCAAAAGAGGTCTGTCGGTCATCGTAGATAGTAGTAGATCGTAACCTGGAAAGCCCAGGAAAAGGAGACATAGAAACCATGAATCCGCACACCCGCTGAAGGTTCTTCCGTCAATCCTCGGAGAACCTGTGTCTCCTATGTTTGTCGCCTACTGCTGGATCTTTGCGTTATTGCCTGCGCATGATCCTTTTTGCAACCACCAAGAATAGCAAGATAAGTCCTAAAATAAGCCCTAGAATGCCAAACCAGCACGACAAGCCGGCCACACCCAATCCAGGAATGGAGATATTCATACTAAAGAGGCCGGTGATGACCTGCATCATGACTATGACCGCGCCGATGCCCGTCAGCCGAGCAAGAGTACCCACGATTGTGTTGCGCATGCGGGTAGAGTCGAACGAGAGCTGACTTAGGTACTTCGACTGCGACCGCGACAGCATCTGCTCTGCATTAGCCAGATTGGCCATCATCGTCAAGACGTGGTCCTGGATGTCGCTGAGGTAGAGAGTAACCTCGGCGGGTGTCGATCCTAAGCTGCCACAATGACGGGCAAAAGACCGAATAACATCCGTCTTGTCATGCAGGAGCTGGCGGATGTGAGTAACCTCTTTGCGATACTTGTATATGCTTTGGAGGGCCAGGCCAATGTCACCGGGTCGTGTGACAGACACTCCGTCTTCAACCATTTCCACGCCGGTTTGGACACGGTTGATTAAGGGAGCGAAGTCATCCACAATATCATCGCTGGTAATATTAGCATTTTATGTTCACCGGGTTGTGACAGGCTCGTACATGAGGGCATAGCAGATCCAGTCACTGGTCAAAGATAACTGGGTCTGTTGCTTCTTTATGCGGCTCCAGACATGAGCAGCGTGTTGGTTGTTACCATACGTGAAGCTGATGATGCCTTCGCGGAAGACAATGCCGTATATATTGGCGGACGACGCCCGGGAACCGATCGCCATCTTAGGCCACTGTGGGAGCCGCAAGGAGACGAAATAGTAGGGGCCGAAGAGTTCAGTCTTCTCTCGAAGTTCGCGCGTCTTGATATCCTCGACGGTTAGGGGATGGATGTCGAGCACGCGCGATAACGCGTCGATATCCTCGTTGGATGGCGTTGAGACATGGAGCCACCATAAACCCGTGTGCATACCCGTCTCCATAAGGTTTTCGAAGGCGGTACTAGATGACTTCAATAGCTGGATGCTATCCGCACGGGTGATCACATCGAGCTGTGTACTAAAGAAACTGAACTGTGTCGTTTCACCATCGGTATCCGGCATGGGGAATTTCTCCCGCAGAGTAGACTCGCCATTATTGAGCGTAGGAGTCGGCGCTCGGGTAGGGGGGTCCGCCACCAGCCCCATGGTGCAATTTAAACGGATAGACAAGTGAACTCATATAGAAGAGTGATTGTGGGAGGAGGCTCAGGAGAATAGGGAAGAATATAACAAGGGAAGGAATACGGTCTGGATGCGGTAATTTCATTCTTGGCATTGTGGCGGAGTCGACCATGATTCCTTGACCACATACTCCATACTGCCCAGGTGTATATTTGAGTAGGGCGGTGTGGTTGAAGGCACAGCCAGAGAGCATCCGCTCAACATACGTAGGTATGACATTGGCTAGAATAAGCGGCCCCACTGCGTTTCTACCCAATGGGAGACCTGTTATTCTACAGATGTCGGGGAAATCTGTGGGTCCTGCCGCCCGCCTGCGAAGATGTTGTTGTAGACTTCCATTCATTTCATATACAATTAATGGTGACTTATTCTTACTACGACCTAACATTCACTGATCTATTCATGTAAGAAAGTGAAGCAAGTGTCCCGCCTTAGGCTTCAATTATAAAAAAGCCTATACTCGCACCCTACCCTCTTTTCATCTTCTTCCTTCATCTTCTTCCTTCAACTTTTTCCTTCAGCCTTTTCCTTCAGCCTTTTCCTTCAGCCTTTTCCTTCAGCCTTTTCCTTCATCTTTCATCCGTTACTCAACGTTTTGCGCTGTTCCTAAGAGGGAATCCATTCTCGGACATGACAATAATGAAAGTGATGCCATGTGGTCAGTGTTGGGTGGCGTGCTGGCAATCTATATAGTCACCCTCGAATTCTTTCTCGGAGCTCTTCGGTTTGTCCGCTTTCGAAGAGCACGACAGTTAACAAAAAGACAAAAAACATACAACAGTGAGGATTCGCTGGTGGTCACCCACCCAACTACTAACTCACCGGCGTGTGGCTTGAGTACGGCTGAGCGGACGGGAAGCCCTATTTTCCACACCCTGTGGTCGTATGTATCAGGCTACATGTAAAAAAGGATTATAGGTATTATTACTATAGATGGATAAAACCCGTCGATACACCCGTACCTGTTGTTCTCTTCAAAGGTTCTGCCAAGATGAGACACAAACCGGACACAAGAAAGAAGGCCTTGATAGGGGTAACAAAATGTGTCTTTATCCGCTGTTGGGCTAACTAGATATGCGACCCCCAAGTCATTTCCAAGAAGTCCCGGACAGTCCTCGGCTTGAAACCTGGAAACTTGTTCCCCAGTCGACCTTCAGCAGGTAAACAAAAGCCTTCGGCTAGATAAAGTTGATAACCAAAAACACTATATGCGTTAAGTTCGTCAGGCTGGATGCCACTTCCTTCAAGAACCTTCATGGTGGGAACATCCCCTTTGGCAACATCTTCAGGCTTCAAGTAGGTAACTTTGAACTTCTCGCCTTTTTTCGGAATTAGAAACTAATCAATCACATTTAGGAAACACCACCTACCGCAGACTTCTTCCGCGTCTTTGAGGGCTTGCCCAAGAGTTGTGTCTTCCCCATCGCAAAAGCTGAACTCGGTCCATTCATCGAGTTCGAGTAGTTTTGCAATCAAAGTTGCGGCGTCATAACTGTATATCATGGTTATCCTAGCGGATCCATCTCCTGGAATGCATGCTTCTCGATTAAAAACGTCAATGGCGATGGTGTTCGGGACGATGTTCGACCGCGCGCGCGGGGCTCCCATGAAATCCATAAAAGCACCGCATACTGGGCGAGTGTATGTCAAGCTGCTGTTCTTGAGAAGATTTGCGGCTCCCAGGAACCAGTCGACCCCAGGGTCGATATCTTTCCTCCTGCGGGGATGTAAGCAGCGATATCATAAAGAGCTGTCAGTAAGACAAGGAGTGCAATGGGGAAACAATACTCTTCACGCGTCATGTAGCCAAACTCGCTCGTGATGAATCGTTTCACAGTGTGTGCTTGGTCGGCAGCCTTAATTAAATTAAGCTGGGCTTCAGAGCAAGCGTCTCCCAGCATGCCAATGGCACAAATAACCGTCTGGACTTCATGGTGTTCCAGTTGATGCACGAGGGCTGGAATGTCGTCATAGTCTACTTGCACATACGGTATGTCGCTGATTGCCGACTCAACATGTTCCTTTCTCGAATCATCAATTATAACACTCTATATAGAGGGGTGCTTTACAACGTACCCTTCGAGTTAGAGCAATAACTGAGAATTTGTTCTCGTGCTGGATCTGTTCAACGAGTGTTCTTCCAACGCCTCCAGTCGCGCCAGCTACCGCGACTGTTGGAGCCATGATAGGAAACTGTGAAGTGATAGACACGATCAATTCTCGACCCGAACTGAGGGGTCGATCTTCGACACGTGAGTCGCTTAATCCTGCCCGTGTGGGTAGTTGCTAAAGTAATAGGACAACCCGAAACAGGAATAAAATGGATCGAACACAGGGCCCAAGCGTTAGTTAGTAAGCCACACCCGAGGACCCGGACCCGTGGACCCGGACGAAGGATTCGTGAACCTTGGAATGACCTGGGGAAGTATGAGAAGGATGACAGTGACAATGACAACAAATTGGGTGTGTTTTATCGTGCATATCATACATATAATCCATGAAAGTGGTTTCCCACAGTTACATACTACACCGCGGCAATTTCTCCGGCTGGAATAAGGTTCGTTTAGCGAAGATCTTCATATAAGGAGCCAAAAAAAGGCACAAAAACATAATCCGTACAATAGTGGCTGAAAAGTTAATGCTACCAGAGTGACAAAAACAAAAACACAAAAACATACAACAGTGAGGATTCGCTGGTGGTCACCCACCCAACTACTAACTCACCGGCGTGTGGCTTAAGTACGGCTGAGCGGACGGGAAGCCCTGTTTTCCACACCCTATGGTCGTATGTGTCAGGTTAACTGTGGGAAAGAAAGATAGAGTGAAGGCTCCTGTAGCTACTAACAGCTCGATAGTGAATTACAACATGGTAATTTTAACCACTAGCGAGTTTGACATTACTATTCCAGTCCTATAAAATGTGCGTCACTTATTTCTATCGCTCATAATGACAGGAGAACCCATATAATTCCGTATTAAGCAACGTAAGAGCTAATAGTAATGACCGAGTAACATTCGGACTGAAACCTCGGCTCAATTATATATAGTGATGATGATACGTTATAACATCAAGTCCACACCTACCCACGATTTACTAAGCTCCCACAACTCCTTCTCCTTTGCCTCATCAAATGCCCAACTGCTGTATCCATATTCAAGTCCATCCCCGCCCGAAGGAGTCGGATAAGCTGCCACAGATGCTCCTTCCAAGTATAATCCGCCTTTCCCTTCCAATTCGCTCGAGACAGACGCATAGATAGTCGTTGCGCAGCTCTGTTCGAGACTAGATAAATATGCCAAGGCGCGCTTGTTCTGCATCACAGCTTTCATTTCTTCTTGGGAGTGTTTCTGGAGGTTGGGGCTCATGAAAGCCCCGGGGTGTAAGCTATAGCCATGAAGACCTTGTGCTCCATACAAGCGCTCGATTTGGGTGGCCATGTATATATTGGCGGTCTTGCTAGATCCGTAAGCAAGCCAGCCATTGTAGTTCCCTTCGAAGTTGACATTATCCAGATGAATAGGACTGTAACGGTGGCCTGCCGAGGAAACGTTGACAACACGCGAATGGAACTTAGGCGTTGAGCTTTTCAGTAGGGTATCTTTCAGTAGATAGAAGAGGAGAAAATGAGATAGATGATTTGTTCCAAATTGTAACTCAAAGCCATCTTTCGTACGACCTTCTGGGGTTTTCATCACCTGTAACCATTAGAGTGAGCTGATGCTCCTATATGAAATTTGCTTTCAATTAGCTCACCCCGGCGTTATTGATAAGATATTGAGTTTAGAGCTCTCTTGCAGAAACTCCTTAGCACATGCCAAACACTCGAGAGGTCCGTTTGGTCCATGAAAAGGAGCTTCACATGCCCAGTGTCCAGTAGTTCCCTTCCAGGGCCTCCTTTGCCTTGTTAAAATTCCGGGCTGTGCCGAAGATAGTCGCTCTGGTAGATGCCAAGGCGCGCACAGTCTCAACCCCGATACCAGATGAAACGCCAGTAATTAGAACAACCTTGTCACTCCATTGGTCAACTAGACCTTCGTCTTCGATTATTTGACTTCCCGTTACACGCGAGTCACCCGGGCCGTTAAGAACTTCCCACCTATTCCGCTCGGCATACCGGCCTGAGAGCTGAAAAGGGACCCTGGAAACCATCGACATGCCGAACGAGGTGACAGTATTATGATTGGGTCCGGATGAACTATTGAAGCTCGAATGTCAATACGAGATTTTGTCGGATTCGGACTGAATTTGTTCCACCCCCTATCCGGGCTCGCTAATTAAGGAATATGTAAACCCAATCTAGATCATGAGGCACGCATGACGTGTTGGCCTTCAAAAATGGTCAGCATTATCATTGGCGGACAAACCAGTAGACGTATGGCCATTACTGGTGAAGTCGTGAACGGGAAAGTGAGTGCCGCTTTAACACAATGCATTGTGTGATTGGGAGTGAGTTCATTTTGCCGCTGACTCTATATCCGCACCACAAACTTGTACCGGTCTAACTTCTCTTCTATCTTGCCGGTGTCACAAGTTCTTAACCTCCTGGGTGGCCCAGTGCCTAAGAGCAGATAGGCCGCGAATCGGGACTTGGAGAGATGAAGAGAGGGATATGAGGGCGAGATGGACAGTCGAAGTGTCGTTTGGTCAAACAGATTCGACCTTCCCTATATTGATGAAAGGTGCGAAGCCATAAGCCATAGTCATTATCTCGGACGCAGTTCTGGTTTTCTCAGTGGCAAATTGAATGTAGCTTTCGATGTTCCTCGCGAACTAGGAACTGTCGGCCGATCAAATCTTTGCCGGTTTTTCCAGTGAGTGCTCGAGGTGCTCATCGTTGCCCAGATGCCTACGTACACTATATGTAAGGAAGTCCCAAACGAATAACCCTTGGAAGCTTAGGTGTAGCTGTGTGATGCCAAGAACGACTCACACACACACCCCGGGGCAATTATATACATAGGTACTACTCCGTACTAGTAGTAGGAACCAGGCGTACTTGCTAAATGCAGCTACGCACGGGCCATAATTGGTGATTCACCTACGCCAAGGCCTTTAGCTTCCTGAGGGATGACGATCAATACGCGTGCGGCACTCATCTCTTGGTAGACTGTCCAAGACTGAAGGAATTGCGAGGAAAAATTAAGGAGTAAGGTCGGGAACATGCTCGACCTTTTGTTCATTATCTTAGGAGGCTTAAGAGAAGACTAGAGAGGTAACCTAGACGCTTGTCTGTATAGGTTTCATAGACACTCCCATCCCCTACTCCCTATAGACCAACTTTAAGGTATGTATCTCATGGTGTTATAAAAGATAGACTAGGCCAAACCCACGAATTTCCCACGTCTCAGATTCAATGTTCAAGACATTTTATGCTATGTGTTGGATCGTACCTAGCTAACGAAAGAGTTGGTAAATTATCTTCAATTTTGGGTTTCGGCGGCCACATCGGCACAATCTCCGAGTAAGGGAGCATCAAAAAAAATGTGTCAAGCCATCCCTTAACAAACTCTGGCACCTGAGCGAATGTACTTATTGGCCGTGAACGTACCGAGACGTGCAGATACTTTCATGTTGGGGAAATAAAGGTGAGCTCCACAACTTCGGCAGTCAATAGCCCCAGTGTACCAGAAAAACTATCGAATTCGGCCAACGTCCTGTACAGTTTCAATACACCCATTAATACATAGTGTAATTTATCATATCAATCCTTTTTAACTCGCTTGATTTCACCATACAAAATTACTCATTCTACACCCCGCATAAGGTGCAATTTGGTTTAAGCATATATATACTAGGTGCGACCCTGAGGAGGACAGGGGCTAAAGACGTAGTGATTCTATAAAATGCACCATTCTAATTGGCGGCTACGGACTGCCCTTCCTACAACATCTCTCGGCGAAGTCTTGGCCGGTCGGCCGCACGCTTGAGACATTCAATTCAAATTTGTCATAGAACTACAAATTTTTGACTCCTTACAGTCACAATTACCTTGGGCATCTCGTATTGTTTGGGTCTGTCGGCATTCTCAATTTCGGAGCCTGTGCACAATGTATTTAAAAGATCGACGTGATCCCTATATCTGTAAGATATTCGCTTAGAGCCCATTCTCTATATCGATATCATCCGAAGTCATGTCCGGTGTAAAGGAAAATGAGACGCAGGTGTCGAAGCCAGTGGAAGCCGCTATGAAGCCTGGTGCTCATCTTGCCAACCCTGTAAGAAAATTCAATTGCTGTCCTTTGATGCGATGCATACTAACATGCTATCTTCGTTTGTATAGGCACCACTGGCGCTGGGTGGCTTTGCTACCACTCTGTTATCCGTATCACTGGCCATGATGAATTTTCGCGGTGTCTTTACACAAACAATTTTCATGGGTGACCTTTGCTTTGTTGCCGGAATTGGTCTACTTATCTCAGCCCAATGGGAGATGGTCCGAGGCAATACCTTCTCTTATACAGTCCTGTCCGCATACGGTTCGTTGCGCACTTTTAACCCCTTCCTTGGCATTGGATTAGTATTGACGTTTATTCTTTTCAGCGTTCTTTTACGGCGGTTATGGAGTGATCATGATTCCTGTTTTGGGCATTGTTGATGCATATGGCGGGTATACACCCGAATACCACAACGCTCTCGGCTTTTTCGTATTGTGTAAGTTCTTGACTTCCTGACCTCGTATTCTTTATCTAATATCTTCTCTCTAGTATGGGCGGTCTTCAATCTTTTCTTTCTGTTGGCCAGCTGTGCTGTGTGAGTTTTGTTCCCTCCATAACCCCCTTAACCGCAAACTAATATTGTTCTGCAGGAACATTGTCTATGTTCTTCTGTTTCTCACACTTGAATTGTGTCTCTGCTTTGATGCTGCATCGAGCTTTGCCATGGCCGATGGGTTGGTGGAGACAAGCGCAAACCTCATGACCGCTGCTGGTGCTTTCGCTTTCGTTTCCAGTTTACTTGGATACTATTGCGTCTTCCATGGGCTATGCCAAGACGCTGTGCCATTTTCAATCCCAATGGGTGACACGTCCCGGGTTTGGAAGCGTTGGTGCAATAAGACAACTTCGCAAAATTCAAAGAGCGAAAAAGATATGGCGTAAAACCATATATTTACAGTTCAAAAGAAGGGGCGGGAAACAGATTAGATATACAACACGAACCGATGTTCTTAATTTCAATTGGTCTCCGGGATAGTGATGTTGGTAAATTCACGGTGCCACTGCACTGCACTGCAGGCAGTTCTGGTTTGTTGATTTGCTGGTTCTGGAAATATCATAATGAGGGCAGGCAGACGGAGACAGCCAAAAGTTGCGACGGAGATGATTCTCATCCTAATTCCTGAAAACCAGTCGATTCTAAATCCCCGGCACGATATCCTTCTATTCCACCCGTAACCTAACACGTACGACCATAGGGTGTGGAAAATAGGGCTTCCCGTCCGCTCAGCCGTACTCAAGCCACACGCCGGTGAGTTAGTAGTTGGGTGGGTGACCACCAGCGAATCCTCACTGTTGTATGTTTTGTGTTTTTGTTTTTGCATCTCTCTAGTGGCACTCTGGGATAAGTGAATGAGGGATTTGGGTGACAATTCTGGAGACTGAGGTGACAGGTGAGAAGGACAATGTGATCGATGTCCCTCCCCACAACTACCCAAGCTAGGATGATCAGTACGTGACTGTGGCCTTGATTCCAATAACTCCTGGCCCAAACCGAAGGCCAAGGAGCCAGAAGATAATTGGAAACTGCGCGAATGTCATCACATTGGCACGGTTCCGTTTGAGGAGCCAAATAGCATAAATGACACTCTCCCCAGCAAGAACGCGTCAATTGGAACAATTCTGCCCGTTCACCGGGCTTTGTGAGTTATCCTGCCTGCCGGGCGAATAGGGTCATTCACACTGTCCATGTGCGTTATTGGCGCCATCCAGCAAGAGAGAGAATGAGAAAGGACGATGCAATGGCCATACACAGCACTCTTTTATGTTTGCCGATGCCTTCGTTTTGGTTGAAAGGGTAGCTGTCTTCGAAAGACTGGGCTGGTACTGGTAGGTACACAATGATCTCATCGCCGATGAGCGCGTCGGCAGCTAATCTCAGAAGCGACTCGGTGGTGGCGTTTGACGCATGACGAATGGGCCATGCGACCCAGCGCCTGCATTCGGCAAACCGTCGCCGCTTCTTCGACTGCCGCGTTGACTCGGGCCTGGCGCTTCTTCTACCACTTGCGCAACGCTGACTTGGTTGTTTGAGAGGTGATGCCCCCCCCATCATGGACCCTTGGAGTTTTTTTTGCTAGCGCAGCAGCAGACTCGATTGCACTGTTCCCAACTTGGCCATGATTAGGGTCATCTTATGAGCGTAATCTCCAACAGTCGCTATGCGTCGCCATCTCCATCCATGTCAAGTAGAGCCTCATCCAACGGCACCCACGTGTACCTCACACGTTTTCCAGAGGTCTCCCAGCGCCAGAGCCTCGGTGACAGGCCGCGAGGCTTTTTTGAGCGCGAGCTTCTTCAAATCTACATGAGAGTATCGTGGAAGTCTCTAACATCGGCATAATACTTTGTCCAACTTCTCGTGGTAGAACTAAAATCCCCGTCTATGGTTATCAGTGGTCACGAGCATGGGTTTTCCCTTATCGAAGAGGGTGTCGACGGTTCCTTCGATGAGACCGTCTACGGGGTCAGATATGCCGAAGAGACAGTTGAATTCAGCATGCATTGCTGGAGGAAAACCATTAACCCCAGTTCTTTCACGCAGGTTTGCGCACATACTTGTCTTCTTCATCACTCGAAAGTCGTCCACAATCCTTCTCACTAGAAAGACGGCACATCCTACTACGAGTCGACGCCTTGCTGTCGACACCATCGCAGCCAACGAAACATCACCATTGTAGGAGTAGCCGCCTTCACAATTCGCACTGACACCGGAATTGGTTTGGTCGATCTGAAGCACCGTCTTGTTGGGCAGCATCTTGTCTTTCTGTGAGATCGAGTCCATCAAGGCTTTTAGAGAGCGTTGTTGGTCCTGAAAACATACTTTGTTAGCCAACCCCAGAATTTCCTTCAGTCAACCCTCTTCAAGACGAGCGAGACATGCAACCATGTCATACCTGACTTTCGAGACCTGGAAAGTGAACGCTGGCGGCATGACCCATGTACCGACGCTGCAATGAACTCTGGACACTTTGGTTGGTTGTGTGTATGCTTCACGATCTCTTGAGCTTGGCTCACTCAGGATGCGTATTGTGGTGACATCCAGTCTAATCGATGGCTCCGACTTGGGGGTCAAATGGACCTCGGACCTCTGGCAATACAAAATCAACAGTCGCTTTTCCAGTGGAATTGCAATCATGAGACCCGCCAGGCCCGCCAACGATGATATTTGCATTGACGTGGTGAGGGCCGGGCTCGGAAGTCGAAAAATTCAAACAAACTGGTAGTAGCCGCCGAACGAACGCGAGAACTGATGGAGGCGATAAATTCGAAGGAACATGGATACTGCATAGCTCCCTTGCCACCATGACCTAGGTAAGATGTTATTAACGAGCACATACAGAGTCTAGAGTCCGTACTTTGAAAGGCAGAGTCAGGCATTACCCGATTCGGTAACATCCGAGCCCACCCCTGCACGTAAACAAAGAAACTCAGGGGCGAACAGGGATGTGGAAAAAACGCGAACATTTAGCTAAGCCTCGCCTCGCAAAGCTTAGCAGGACACTCCGACGATCTTCTTGCTTTATCCTCACTCCATTTCCTGGTATATTTGACCAACATACACTTCTATCGAGCCACCGGAGATAATTTGTTGCTCCCCCTGACGCTTGTGGGACTACTCTACCATGCCGAGCCGCGACCGTGGAGATCAGCAAGACTCCATCCAGACACGCGAAGACGCGATGACTGCCAACCCTCCCTTGGACCCAGTCGACTCAAAGCCGGCAGATGCAGGCAGGAAGGAGGAAGAAGATGATGATGATCCATTCAAGCATCTGCCTCAGCACGAGAAGGAAATACTCAAGAGACAGTTGGATATACCAGCCGCCAAGGTCAATTACTTGACGTTGTATCGTTATGCGACAAGGAATGACAAGATCATTCTGGTCATTGCCTCGCTCGCAGCAGTCATCGGCGGTGCACTCATGCCTCTAATGACTGTCCTGTTTGGAGGTCTGGCAGGCACCTTCCGCAGCTTTCTTCTGGGTGACATATCTGAGAGCCAATTTACCAGCGAGCTTGGCAGATTCTCTCTGTACTTCCTCTACCTCGCTATTGGCGAGTTTGCGATGGTGTACTTGGCCACAGTTGGTTTCGTGTACGCTGGTGAGCACATCACAGCAAAGATCAGAGAGAAGTTCTTGGCCGCCATTCTGAGGCAGAATATTGCTTTCTTCGATGAACTCGGCGCGGGTGAGATCACCACACGCATCACGGCGGACACCAATCTTATACAGGAAGGTATATCAGAGAAAGTTGGATTGACCCTAACGGCTGTCGCCACCTTTGTGGCAGCGTTCGTGATTGGTTTCATCAGGTACTGGAAACTCACGCTGATTCTGTGTTCAACTGTGGCTGCCATTGTTCTTACATTGGGCATCGTCGGCTCGTTTGTTGCCAAGCTCAGCAAGAAATACCTCGCCCAATTCGCCGAAGGAGGGACAGTTGCAGAAGAGGTCATCAGCTCCATCCGGAACGCGACTGCGTTCCATACCCAAGACAAGCTGGCTCGACGATACGATGGATATCTCATCGAAGCAGAGAAGTCCGGATTCAAGCTCAAGGCCACCACCAGCTCAATGATTGGCTTTCTCTTTCTGTGAGTACAGCCACTGGCACAACACCCTGCCGTCCCATTGAGATCTCTTTAATTACCTTAGAACGCCCAGTGTACTGACCATATCTCTTAGGTACATCTACCTCAACTACGGACTGGCTTTCTGGATGGGCTCTCGCTTCCTGGTGGATGGATCCGTTGGCTTAGCGCAAATCCTCACTATTCAAATGGCCATCATGATCGGGGCTTTTGCCCTTGGGAATATTACACCGAATATCCAGGCCATCACCTCAGCTGTCGCTGCAGCCAACAAGATCTACGCAACAATTGATCGTGTCTCTCCTCTCGACCCTATGTCGACCGAGGGGCAGAAGCTGGAGGGACTGCAAGGCAAATTGGAACTCAGAAATATCAGACACATATATCCTTCCCGCCCCGAGGTTGCCGTGATGGAGGATGTGAACTTACTGATCCCCGCGGGCAAGTCTACTGCACTTGTTGGGGCCTCAGGTTCTGGGAAAAGTACTATTATTGGCCTGATTGAACGGTTCTACGATCCTGTCGGCGGATGTGTTTACATCGACGGCCATGATGTCAAAGGCGTGAATCTCCGCTGGTTGCGACAACAAATATCTCTGGTGAGCCAAGAGCCAACCTTATTCGCTACTACTATATTCGGCAACATCAAGCACGGTTTGATTGGAACAACGCATGAGCATGAGTCCGAAAAATCAATTCGTGACCTGGTTGAACGTGCTGCTCGGATGGCAAACGTAAGTATGATGAATGCCATGACGCCTTGCCTCAGACACATCCTCTCTCCTCATATCTTATTCTCTACGAAGTTCTGACTTGGTTGGTTTTTAGGCCCACGACTTCATCACATCCCTTCCTGAGGGCTACGAAACCGACATTGGCGAACGAGGGTTCCTCCTCTCAGGAGGTCAGAAACAACGTATTGCCATTGCAAGAGCCATGGTTAGCGATCCTAAGATCCTGCTACTTGATGAAGCAACATCCGCACTCGACACGAAGAGTGAGGGAGTTGTGCAGGCCGCACTCGACAAAGCTGCCCAGGGACGGACCACCGTGATCGTTGCTCATCGACTGTCTACTATCAAGGATGCGGACAATATCGTGGTTATGTCACACGGACATGTTGTCGAACAGGGCACCCACGATGACCTTCTCAAGAAGAAAGGGGCTTACTACAACTTGGCCGAGGCCCAGAGGATTGCGACGAAGCAAGAGTCTAGAAGCCAAGATGAAGATCTCATACTGCCTGAAACCGATGACGATTTAGGGCGACCCCAATTCAATGAGAAACGCCTCACCCCAGACAAAGAGGATGAACGGGAAGACCCTGATCACCTTCAGCTGAGCAAGGCACGGTCGGACATACCCGCATCGAGAACGGCAAATTCGAAGAAGGAACAAGAGGAAATTGCCGACAACTATACTTTGTTCACGCTGATATGGTTTGTCGCCGGCTTGAACAAAAAGGAATGGAAACGCATGGTCTTTGGACTTTTACTCTCTGCCATTTGCGGTGGAGGTAATCCAACACAAGCTGTTTTCTTTGCCAAGTGCATTACAGCTCTTTCGCTTCCTCTTTCAGAGCATGCTGAGATACGGCGACGGGCCAACTTCTGGTCTCTGATGTACCTGATGCTCGCCTTTGTACAGCTATTTGCTCTCATCTTCCAGGGCATTGCGTTCTCTTATTGCGCAGAGCGCCTAACCCATCGGGTTCGCGACCAAGCATTCCGGTATATCCTCCGGCAAGACATTGCCTTTTTCGACAAAAGTTCGTCGGGTGCTCTCACTTCTTTCCTCTCGACCGAGACATCCCACCTGGCTGGGCTGTCTGGCATTACTCTTATGACGATCCTCTTGCTGGTGACCACCTTAGTTGCCGCCTGCGTCATTGGTCTGGCCGTAGGGTGGCAGCTTAGTCTGGTGTGCATGTCCACCATACCTCTCCTTCTCGCTTGTGGGTACTTCCGCTTGGCCATGCTGGTCCGACTCGAGAAGGAGAAGAAGAAAGCCTACGAACAGTCTGCAAGCTATGCCTGCGAGGCCACTTCAGCCATCCGAACCGTGGCTTCCTTGACCCGCGAGGACGACGTTTGCAATCACTACCACGAACAGCTTCTCACGCAAGGCCGCAAGTTAGTGATGTCAGTTCTAAAGTCATCCGTGCTTTACGCGGCATCTCAATCACTTCAATTTCTTTGCATGGCTCTCGGCTTTTGGTATGGAGGTACCTTGTTCGGCAGACACGAATATTCCATGTGGGTAGATGACAATTTCCCGAACAGACGCCATGTTAGTACTAACCCTTATATTCAGGTTCCAATTCTTCTTGTGTTTCAGCGCTGTCATCTTCGGAGCGCAGTCTGCGGGGACCATCTTCAGCTTTGCACCAGATATAGCCAAAGCAAGGCACGCGGCTGCTAGTCTCAAGGCTCTCTTTGACCGGACGCCGGAAATAGATAGCTGGAGCCATGACGGCGAGATGGTACAGAGTATAGAAGGCTATGTTGAGTTCAGAGACGTGCATTTCAAGTACCCGACGCGACCAGATCAGCCCGTTCTACGGGGCCTCAATCTGCAAGTCAAGCCCGGGCAGTATGTTGCCTTTGTCGGAGCTAGTGGATGTGGCAAATCTACTGCGATTGCCCTCCTAGAGAGATTCTACGATCCGCTCCTCGGCGGTGTCTATGTCGACGGCAAGCCAATCTCATCGTTCAACGTCAACAATTACCGCTCCCATCTTGCACTTGTCAGTCAAGAGCCGACGCTCTACCAAGGAACCATCCGCGAGAATATCATGCTAGGTACAGACCGAGATGACGTCTCACAAGAGGAAATAGTGCAATGCTGCAAGAACGCAAATATCTACGATTTCATCATCAGTCTGCCGAACGGTTTTGATACCCCCGTTGGTAGTAAGGGCAGCATGTTGTCAGGTGGCCAGAAACAACGTCTTGCGATAGCTAGAGCATTGCTCCGCAACCCCAAGATCCTCTTGCTAGATGAGGCCACTTCCGCTCTCGATTCGGAGTCTGAGAAGCTCGTGCAAGCTGCACTGGACACCGCCGCTAAAGGGCGCACAACGATCGCCGTTGCGCATCGTCTGAGCACGGTGCAAAAGGCAGACATGATCTTTGTCTTCAACCAAGGCCGCGTCATCGAGTGTGGCACTCATTCTGAGCTGATGCAGAAAAGGTCCGCGTACTTTGAACTTGTTGGGTTGCAAAATCTGGGCGGGATGTAGAATCTTCTACGTGGAGACCGCGAGTCTTTGGCAGTCCTGAGCAAACTTCATTCGAGCCTGAAATCCAAATTATTGAAGAGTTTTTTCAATATGCCGACCATTTTCCTGGTCCCGTATGATAAGTCAATCTCATAACAATCCCCGTTATATGTATGGATGGCCCTACGTGGCTAGCGTAAGGTGCGAAGCTTCCATTGTTGAGACATGATCACAATAATCCCTGTTGTATGGATGGTCATGGGCGTTTAAAGGTTGCGAATCGGGTGAGAACAACCATCCAACGGTGCAGCACTAACCCTTCCAGCTCTAGGCGCGATGAATATAAATGGGCCACGAACGTCTCCCTGAAAAGCCATCGCTGCCTTAGCATCTACATATCGCCGTAGTTGGCATAAGTATATATTTCTTTGGCCCCCGGCGTTTCGTGTTGAAAATCCTAGTTAGTTCCCATTAACACTGGCCTTTTCCATGCTGCAACGCTAACCCTAATTCAGGGTTCACAATGCAGATCTCAGACATGCAGGATTTGAACTCAGGCTCCTACCAAAGGATGCCTAGTTTCCTTTGCTGTATGCAGTGTGATCATACTTCTGCTGTCCTCAGTATACAGCTCAGTATCACACTGCATCGGCGTCTCGACATTTTAATTCAGCCTGCTTTCATTCAGTTTTATGCTTCTTGTCAATTCTTTCCGATCTGTCATAATGGGGGGGGGGTTATACGAGAAAGAAGCACATAAGGGGCTTCTTTCCATGTATGAAGAAGACCAATCAATTTATTACTTTTCACAGTATATTTGAATTCACTTTATTCATAGTAATCTTCATGACACAATTTTTTGTCTCACAACATACATGCTGTATAGATCCTACATCTATTATCAACATTTCGAGGAGTGAGCCACGTTCTTTTTATGGTCCGCCAGGCAGCGCCTTCAGGCTGGGAGGAAGTACCCTAAAGCGGCTCTCACCCGGGCACCCACCCGATTATTGATTGGTAATTAGGGCTAGCATTATGTTCGGTAGTTATATTGTCATCTATAGTTAAATCTTATATAGACCCTCGCCCCGGAGACCGATCGCCAAGATTCATGCTTGATAAGGTGGTGTTCCAACCTAAATCAATGTCGATCCGCCGTATTTGTACTCAGCCTTCCTCGGGCGGTGGCTATGTTGATCGACGAGCAAGTAGAAACCAAGCTACCTAAGACCCTAAGACGCTAAGAACTTCTCGATGCTAGGTAAAAACCAAAGATTTGGTGTTGGAACACTATATATAACTGATTATTCCTTTATTGCGGCGACCAGACCGACAATCCACCTTGAACCAAGCACTTTCTAAAAGAACCCAAAAATTCCAAAGCATCCAACTGCTATCTGTTTTTATTCCAAACAGATCCCTCCTAGCAGCCAAATATCACCATGTGTTTCGGCATATCGCGCGGAGAGGCGTATGACTGTCCGCCCCCGCGGGGCATTTACACCTGCTCTGACGCTTTCATCCAATATCGAATCGACAGAGACAACGAATCATCTAAAGAGAAAATGCGGCGTCGCACAATATGCAGATATGGTTATAATTCTGTGTCTACAGGGTTGAGAGGTGGCGCTATGGGACCTGGACCCATAGGAGGAGGAGGTGGTTGTGATGGTGGAGGTGCAACTACAGGTAGCGGATGCGGCTAGATCTGGAGGGTTGTGATGGACGTGGAATGCTTTTTGTTTGCTATTGATTGAATAGCCGCGATGGTTATTTGCTACAATGTGATAGGGTTTATGCTGATCTGGAATCTGATCTAAAATTGAAAATCTATGCAGGGCGGCATTCCAACCTTGGAACAGGCTCAGCCATTACTCGTTTATTTGAAAATAGACTAATGATGTCAAATTTAAATGCTTTAAGATATAGCCGGGTTCCATAACTCAGTTGGTTAGAGTGTGATGCTAATAACGTCAAAGTCGAGGGTTCGACCCCCTCTGGAACCACGTTTATTTTTTTTTTCGGCCTCATTACGTCTTCCCATTGGCCCTATTGACTAGAAAGAAGATAAGGAGGGCAGAAAGTCCATACATGGACTGCCTATCTAAGTGAGGTAGCTGCCATCTCAGTGTTAGACAGTTACAATATATACATACCACTGAATAGTACAGTGGGACCTCCGAAATAGAAAACTAAAAAGACTATTGAAAAGACTATTGAAGACTACCTTAGAAGAACACTAAGAAGACTACGCCGTATAAGCGACCGACTAATATGTATTCCTATGGCAGTATGTTTAAAAGGCAGGCCGTATATAGGGCGGTATATCTAGGTACAAGGCTAAGAATATTGCTCGATCTCAGATAAAAAGACGGAAGACGGAAGACGGAAGCGGAAGCGGATAGTAGATGAGCGCGTTTATCAATGAAATTTCATTGGTTCGCTATACAAGCGATGTTTCCGCCGACGAGATGCAGGCCTTTCGTTTCCTTGTTGTCGCGCTTACCATTGTCCAGCATCGGGATTGGAAGAAGAGTAAGGAGGATTAGATAGAAAATGAAAGATATATTCTTCCTAACATAGACTCCCGGACCTTGAAATCAAAGATACATATTCCTTTAATTCATGTGAGTAAATAGGCAATTTATCCTCGACACCACTGTATCTTTTTCAGCTACATTGCCGATTTTCTTTGATGCAATTACTGGTACTAAGGTAACAGGTATAATGTGAAAGCCATCAAGAAAGAAGGATTCTTAACAGGATGTTCATTTTCTTAGAGCAACGTCAACCTTGAAAATAAGCAAATCAGGATATGCAAAAAAAATCAGCCAAGGAAAATCATCCCAGCGAATCAATTGCCACAAATCCTTGGAACATTTGCAACGGTGTTTCCTTCTGGAAAATGCCATGCCCATTTTAGAAGCAGGTTCAACTTCCCCAGAAAGTCTTTTCTATCAACCATATCAAAGTATTTCTCCCCGTAAGCAGGCACGGCAATCATATGTCCTAGATCTAGGAGCTCCGAGAATTGAACCTGAAGCTTGCCATCAAAATAGGATTGGAACATACGGCATCCGCCAAATTTGTCCATCAGAAATACTAAATGCTAATGATATGTTAGTAAAAGACCAACGATACCCAAGAAGGAAACACAAACCGGGGAAGTAAAGTAGCACTCGTCCGACCGATACTCATTCAACCGACTCTCATCAGACCCATTCTTATACGACCTTTTCCGATCAACCCGGGTCATTTCTCTGTGGGTTAATGCGGCGATCGCAAAGACCTCCATCGAGGAAGGCCGTTTATCACCACATTTCTCCTGGTTGCAGAACCCGACTATTGAGCGCTGGTGGCCCTTGTGCTCATGGCAGCTCAGTGAATCCAGAGGAAATTCCAGCTTCTCGGTATTTGTACATTCAAAGTCGAGAAACTCTCGGCGACCTCCAAGAAGAGAATACGTGTCGCTGGAGTGCAAGTTAGCATTTGAGAGAGATGAGATATACTTCATCCACTAACCGGTCTACTACCCATCCGCCATTGGGAATCCTAGAAGACTATTAGTAACAAGTTTATGAAGGTCAGGACGTATACAAACCCTTCACGGTGAAATTCCTTGAATGAGTAACCACTCCCTGTGAAGGTAAAATAGTTATATCGTATTCAATGGGTAGGGGTGAGGACCTGGCACTTCAGACCAGCTTGCAACGTCTAGGAAGGGTGAAACTGCTAGATCAACCCGAGGTAGGAAGTAGCTTGTAACCGATGGTGAAGAAATTGTACCAGTGCGGATATCAAACTGATAAAAATCGACTCCGAGGTCTGAAAGCTGCTCGTCTGTCATCCGAAGCTTCCTATTCTCGCGAAGGGTGTTGTAGATCCGTTCCATTGTTCGAAACTGGTTTTCAGCGTAGTTAGATCTTGGAGTGCAAGAGAAGTAGAGAGTAGAGAGGAGTGTATATGTAGCGACGGACATAGTAACGGATGTTTGCCGCCTTCCAAACAGGCCATGTGAAATTCGGCTATCCAATCACGTTTTCCTGACCGATTTTTTCTGAAAAGTTCAATTGGTATTGATGACGTTTTGGCCTGGAAGGACTAATAAAACACTATGTATCGTAGGTTGCTGCGTTGCTGCGTTGAGTGATCACCAAATCCACCTTGAAAGGTGTCGGGCGCTGTGTCCAGCCCCGGTGCCGCTTTTGTTATACGGACCGTGGAACACTTCCATGGTTCTTCTCCATATCATTCAATGCAGAAGTATCACCATTCCCAGGAGTTTACGAGCCTTGCTTTCGTGCGTTTGCCTCTTCTTTTCCGTAGCACGCATCGTCGGTATCTTCTTGCACCTGTCGCTATCCATACACGATTACTCGATCCCTCCATCTCACGATTCCTTCTATTGTACAATCCTTTATCTGGCTCCACTAGAGACATCATGCAACAAACAAGTTCTGCCTTTACCTCCGATGCAATGGATGGAATTCTATCTTAACCTCTTCGGCTCCAGGTAACACTGTAAATGATAGAATGTTGTGAATAGAATAGTATTCAGAGAAAACGAAGGAAGGGAACAGCATCCAAGATGATATTCACCACCTATCCAGCATTCTCTCACTTCTCGTTCATGACATGGTGTATTCACTCCCTATTAGTGACTGACCTCTATTGAGTTACCTCTCACTTCTCATTCATGACTTTGTATTCACTCATTGTCCGCAGCCTGCCATTCACCGTTGACAACTTTGGGTGCCTTCCAAGGTTGGGCTCAGTCTATAAAAGCCCCCACTCCCACCATCCTTCCTCTCTTCTTCCTCTTCTTCTTCATCAATCTCAATGATCACTCTTCATCAACTCTTCAACTCAATTCTACCTACAGCTGACAGACCTTGTATATACATACTCATTCCTTCTTGTCTACCCTGAACTCATGTATACTCCAACTCTTGTGACCCACTTGTGCCCCTGCCTTCGGTGAAGCTGCACATTCTCACAACAAGAGTCTGGATCCAGTTCTGACACGTTTCATCTAGTTTTCAGCTCTTGTCACCTGAGAATCGCGATCCACTCCTCCATCCTCCGTGATACTGCAGTGGTCCGTGGGGCATGACTCTCAAAAAACCTCAACACCTTTCATCCGATTTCAATTTTCGTCCAAATAACCGACGATCTACTCTCTTCAACGTAGCTTAAGGGAGCTTGCTTTCATGATGACCATCACATTCAACTTTTCCAACGAACTGGAGGGAAATGAGACTTGGTATGATGGCTTCGAGTCACATAAAGTGGACATATCTTCCCTCAATCGGAAGAGTATGTTACAGCTTCGAGCTCGTTCTTGGACACTTCACCAGTACCAGATTTTCTCCCAGGATGTTGTGTGTGGACTCATGTTCTGGTATGCTGGTGGGAAAGAGCCTACCCACATTCATTCTTGTCCCGATGCGCAACTGAACCTTTTTATCTCTGGTGGTGTGGAGATTCCCCACTTGGGACTCAATTTGCGCCTGAGATACAAAGACAATCCGAAATCGAAAAAAGATCAGGAGCGTTGGAGGGCACTAAACTTAAAACGGTAAACCTAACCCGATACAGTAATTCACAGGTCCGCCGTTTACAACAACAATGAAACTCACAAGCGCGCCCGAAAACCGACAGCATAATCATGCGCAACCTCATCCAAGCCATAATGATGCAATTTCTGACTATTCACAACGAGCCTTCATATAAGATTCTTGTCAAATCAGTTATTCCTCAGTACTATAGGGTTCTGATTCAGGTATTTGATAAATCCATTATGTTCTGATCCATCCTATGAACAACTGTAATTTGCAAGTCTAACGCTCTCATATGATTAGCCCGATGTTTATTGTCGCAAGAGATGTGTTGAATCCCTCCAGCAGATTCACAGGTCTAACGAGCAAACCGAAAGTCAATTCTGTACAAGATGGTAAGTTCTTAGGCACTAAAGGTATTTATCCATGGATGCTCTACAGCGCCGACGTACCTCTTGTTAGTCAATACCGGATTTTCACGCAAGTAAAGCTCTCTTTGCTCGCTTGTCATGGCATCCCATTTTGCGACGTTTCTCCTGTATACCAGTTAGCAGAGGTGCTCTATATTTATATTTGCGAGTTCTGAAACTGTACCTGTTCCACCAGTCGTAGTAGAACTTGGCAAAGATGAAAAGGAACCCGCTGACGACAGCCAGCGCAATAAGGACTTTGTTTCCATTTTTGTAGTATGGCGCATCCTTTTCTTGGTACACCTATTCAGGATTGTTAGTATCCCAAATGGTTTTGTTCAAGACCATTGGTAGCCCAGAATAAGGACTGGAACCCACATTAGCACCAGCAATGTTGCTCAATTGTACAGACATATTATACAAGGCAGAAGCAACAGTGCGAGTCCGCACAGATCCGGCATTTCGAGAAGTCAACGCCACCACAACAGGATGAATGCTCGGCCCACCGACAAGAAGCGTAAGTATCGCCCAACGGGGCCAGGGCATGCTTTTCTGAGGAAGCAACTCTAGCGCAATCAGGAGGACTATGTTCCAGACTTCCACTCCCACTCCCCAAAGCAGGCGCTGATTTGTACGCTCTGCAATCCAGGTAATAGCTATCAAGGTGATAATTGCTAGGACAGCTGATGGAATTGTCAACAAGTTGGTTTGGAACGTTGTGAATCCCTGAGATCGCAGCTGTAGCGTGAGGTAGCTCTGCGCCGGATGGGTGGGTATCAACCAGATTAGACCGAGGGCATAAATGGGCCACATATGGTAATCTTTGAGCGACTCCCAAAAGCGCCGTGGGGTCACTGCTTGTCGATTGTGCATACTGCCCTTACTAGGATCGTCCCGAATGACGCGGTTCACGATGATCTTCTCTTCGTGCTCCGTAAACCATCCGTTCTTTCCGCGTAATCCTCCCTTGGTTTGCACGGGTGACGCTGGCATCCAGAATGCAGCGATAATTCCAATCACACCAGTTATAAGACCTTCGTACGCAAATAGATATCTCCAGGCACCGCCGCCGTTGGCGTCGGTGATGTGTAGGAAGCCAAAGGCTAGGAAGGAACCAATAATTCCGGCAACAGTGTAGGAAATCCAGAAACAGGTCAGTCTTTTTGGCAGCTCATTAGATTTGTAGAAGAAAGACAAGAAAAGGATTGTGTCAGGTATACTACAAGCTGCCGTTAGTCCCATCTTAAGATTTTGTGAAATATGAATACTCACAAGCCGCCTTCTAAGAATCCTAGGAGAGCTCGACAGGCCAAATAAGAGCCGCGCCCTTCCAAAAAGGCCTGACAAGCCGCGACCAGGCTCCAAGAAACAATTTGCATAGGGATCCAACGGTCTGGGCCGATTCTCTTGGAGAGTAACTGGGAGGGCATCTCCGCCAACAGGAAGCAGACCAGAAAGACCGTCTGCCCCAAGTTGTAATCGTTGCTGGTCATCCCTAGATCTTCTAGAAGTGTACTTGCCAGTGCCTGGCCGATGTTGCCCCGATCCAGCTGCAATGCAAAGAAGGTCACGCAGGCAAACGTGCAGACCCGAGCATCGATCTATCCATGTTTTAGGTGATTGGCAATTGAGGTCGTGACAGGGAATGTAACCGACCTTCCTGACAATCTTTTTCTCTTCCTTTTCCGTCCATTGGAAATTGGGATCCCAGCGATGGAGTCCCTCGTAGCTGTCGATTGGCCGGTAGAAGTGATGGCCCTCTCCGGCCTCGAACGTACCTTCTCCTTTGTGATGATCATTCTTCTGCCACTCTTCGTCCGAGCCATCTGCACTACTGGCAGAAACCCGTGCTGTCTTTACTCCATCTATAGACATCTTTTCGGAATGCAGGAAGAGACCCTGTCAAAAACTGATTGTGAAGAGCATCATAAAACAGTCTACTTCGACCTTTTTATTTCTATAAGAAGTATGCGTTGCCGCAATGACCGTCACGCAATTCTGCCCTAAGAGGAGTTGTCATGTTGTGCCTGTAGGCGTGAATGAGACAATCGCAAAATAAACGACCTAGTCCTAGAAGAACGTTTGACCTAGGCTGTTAGCGTTAACAAGACTGCCATATCCTGTAATGACTAGTTATAATTTGCGGAATAATACGCAGACTTGTCGGCGTATCTCTGGAGGCGGGGTCCAAGCGAGTTGCATCATTCGGGGATTTAGACACGCCATCTGGACTAATATCTTCATTGTTGTCATTGGTTCCTCGACTTCGCTTAAATATGGTCGCTTTATGCTTATTTCGTTTTGAGATTCACCTTCGGGCGCAAGCATTGCGTGATGCCTGAAGGACCTACGTGCTCATCCACGAAAGTTTATATCCTGGATGAGGATACGCTCATCGTCAACTCTTCCAAGGTTTCTTGTCTATAATTCTTATCAGTCTCGGTAGCATGTCAGTTGGCTGTATTCTCCAAATACCTTAGGCAAGGTTTCTTTCTGGTCCAATCGAGTGAAATCTTTACGTAGAAGGTCCCACAATGGCTTCCGAGGTAGATGACGATGCAGAAAAACGTAAAGATGTCCAAATTATATTGCGGCAGTCTTCCGATCAAGCATTTCAGCAGTCTGTGGTAGTACTTTTGATACTCTTGGGCGGTTCGGTGTCCTCTGTAGGTGCGGACAGTAAAACCGTAGAGGGGGGTGGGGGACAGGGCCCTATCGAAATTGTGTCAGCCATGTCTTCTGTCAATATGTTAGCTCGTCGTAATATAGGGAATTGAAGGGTAAGCAGGAACTAATTTGTATAACCTTGGAATCCCATGGTAGATTCAAAGATAAGTTGTTATTCATTCCAAGGTTCCAAGGTTCTATCACACGATGGAAGGTGGACATCAATAGAAAGCCAGGATGGAGAGAGACGATAGCAGACGATAGCAGTCTGCTCTTTCCTTGGTTCCTTCCACGTGAGCTCAAATGGGGAAGGGGCGTGTGACCTCGGGATGGCATATCTCCTGGTCTCCCTAGGGCGTTCCCTCCAAAGTTCTTTCAGATTCATCTCTGGCTGGGTATACCTATTCACTCCCTTTTTTGGTGTCCGTGCTGATCATGCAAAATCGTACAATTCGCAGTTGAGATCGTCGAGTATTCTTGTTTATTACTAAAAGCCGTTAGTGCCTTAGTGTTTTGAATCGCGCCCCTTCTGGGCGAGCTCCCACATTTCTTTTCTCGATACCACATAGCAAAATACTCACATAAACAATTGAGTGCCCATTACAAAGCCGGTTACGCCACTCATCAACGGTGATGGGCATGGCGCACTTGAGGCGCCATCACTTGAAAGAGTGAGCAATCGCCACACTCGTGAGCACATGATGGACTTGGTCAAATGAACATATGGAGGGAATTTGGCATTACCGAAGTATCCGAGTTTTATTCAGGTTGAAGACGATTTTGTTGGGGTCCGAGCTCGATGGGAACTGCCGTTCTTTGTCTCTCGGAGATATCGAGGGACCCGGTAGGAACGTGGTTTCTTTGACACCCTTGACCTTTCGGTTAGCTGTGCAATAATCATGATTAACCCTTTCATCCCACAACCTTTTTATTGAGCCACCGCATCGATGGGGGGTGGGCTGATGCCCAGATGGGATAGATGGAGAGACCAAGTAGGTCGTATGTGGGATAGCCCAGAGATACATCAGCTCCGTCCGGCGTGAACTGTATTAACTATTAGTTTCATTTTCCGAGCAAGCAATCAAATGACTAATGAACTGGTCTTAGGTAGGAGTTTGTATGCCAAGGTCTATGGTGGACGGGTTCTTGGTTCTTTTTTGGCACCACCTCCAGACTGCACGATTCCGATTGTCGCTCAGGGCTGGCTGGGTTCATGATTCGTGCGTGGAGTGAACGATGGTGGCGTCAATATTGCAGGCCGAGCTCCTTCCGTTTGAGTAAACTGCACATGGCTCAAGATATCTGACTTGATATCCTGAAAGAATCTGGCCAATGTTTCTGTTGGTCGCGCCAATAAAACTCAGCTCGGCGAAAGTTATGTGGAGGGTGGCCAGACCAGACTAATAAGAACAACAAAGAATAATATATCTAATCTCACGGCGATATAGTTATACAGTCAATATATTTGTGATGTCTCGTCGTTTGCCATTTATCCAGGACTCCTACAACTAAATCTAGTAATAATGGCGGAGTTTGACGACCAACACAGTCGAGTTCCCGAGTCGGTCTTTTTAGTGGGTATCCAAGCTAACGACATGATTGTTTTGGCATAAATAACTAACCTCATACTAATAGGGCGTGCTATGGGCTCTCACAGGCACATCGTTTCTATTTGTCATATTCCGCATTTATGCCCAACTTGCCTCATTCCGTCGAGTATTCCTAGATGGCTACCTTGTTGTCTTCGCATGGGTCATTATGCTCACAGCCGCAGTCATCTGGCAAGTCGAAGGGAAGGTCCTTTACGAGTTGTATGCGATCAGCACTGGGACAAAGCCATTCAATCTTGAATTCCTACCGAGGTACAATACATTCATGCGATTCAATGCTCCACTTCAGATACTATTCTATTCGGCGCTGTGGTGTGTCAAATTCTCGTTCATGGCACTCTTCTATCGAATCAGTGCCAAGGTCAGGTCTCTCCGTATCTGGTGGTTCGTGGTCCTTTTCTGTACAGCGAGTGTCTACATTGCATCGGTGGCCGATATCGAATACAAATGCAGTTTGGGAGGGTTGGAGTATATCATCAGTGAGAACAACTGAACTCGAATCCGATTGATTTACCCTGACACTGAACTACGCAGCCCAATGCCCCCAGCCTCATCACGTTCATTACGAGAATCGCATGTTTTGGGCCAACTGTGCTGGAGACGTCATCACAGACTTGATGAGTGAGTTTACTGCAAATACACCGACATTTTGAGGGAGACCTTTAAACTAACAATATTCCTCTCTTTAGTCCTGTCCATTCCCTTCCTTGTGCTATGGAAGACACGAATCTCGCTGCGAAAAAAGCTCATTTTGCTCAGCATTTTCTCCGCAACTAACTTCATCATGGTCACCGCTATAATCCGGGTGACAGTCGGGATGAACTATGACCGTCAGATGAATATCGACTGGCTATGTTTCTGGAGCTTTGTTGAGGTGGATGTTGGTATGTTATCTCAAGCCTTCGTCAGGTTGTCGTCCTAATACTGACCTTCACTTGGTAGCGATTATTGTCTCCTGTGTCGCCTCCCTCCGACAACTCTTCGTCGCCTCACAAAATCAGAGCTCGTCTGCTAAGGCTGCGTACCATGATACAAACGAACCCATTTTGAAAAAGTCGAAGGAGGGGTCTAGCCAAGATCTGTCGCGGTCTGTGGGGGATGTCGAGTCACCCGCAAATGACGAGGCGCCCATGTCGCCCCTGAGCATTGTACACGTTCGTCAAGATTTTGAAGTGACTCGTGATAATGCAAGTCAGTCTGCTAATGGTGAGAAGGCATGCAGACCCCAGACGAGCTTTGACTAGTTTAGAAATTTCCATTTCTATGCTTCTGAGCATACATCGAACCCGTTCATCTTCAGCTTTGTAGAGCTAATCGAATACCTCAATGACATTAGAGCAAATTCAACGAATAGATAGTTCCAATTCTTCTAGGGCACTTAAATACTAGACTTAGCAATACTAATTGGCGTCTCCCAGGCGATTGTCTGGGTGCGCATTGCAGGCGAGCAAACGTACTAAGTTATTGTTCAATAGAAGGTAGGGCAGTCTCCAGGGCCTCCCGCAAATTCACAGGCCGGAAGGGCTTTGACTCTCAACTTTACGGCGTTTCGCTTTTCGCTTTTCGCGCTTCACCACCTCCTACGTTTCGCAGGGCCCTTCGCCTAGAGCACTAGGATTATCTGTGACTCAGAAAAATTTTCGCCCACTCTTCAAAGGATACATCTACCACTAGAGAACCATCGACTTCTCTTAGGGAAACAGCAAAATGTACATTCCTATTGAATTGCAGTCGCAAATCCTCCATGAGGCTCTCGAGATCTGCCCACTCCAGGATTTGTGGAAATTGAGTACAGTCAATTGTATGGAGCCTTCCCTGTCTGTCCAATTCACGCTAACAAATGATTCCAGTCTACTTTGCAAGCGAGGTTGAGGCCTTCTTGCTAGGGCGCGTTAAATTCTGCGACGCTGTCACCCCTTCGACCACCAACGCTGAGCCCGAAATCCGCCAAATCCGGTGGAAAGATCTTCCTTATGACATGAAACGTGTCTATCTCCGCCGCAAGCTTCAGATCCATGGTTACAGCCAATGTGGATGGTCGAGCCTGGTACATAGGATACTTGACCTCCCTCATCAGGGAACCGAAACTCGTATCAACCAGCTCATTGATGGATACCTATGTGGCGGGTACACCGGATATCGCAAACTGCTCGACCCTGCCTTGTATGCAGCAAAACAAAACGAACCCGTCTCTGCTCGCCGAATCAAAGCAATGTATTGGCCACCCGAGGAATTGCAAATGACATCGAAGTATGCCATAGCAGCGAGTGCCATTCAAAGAGGAGACTGTATCCAGCTGCAGAGACTCCTTGATCAAGGAATCCACATTGCAGGCTACAGTGACCGACTGGCCCTTGTTCCGCTCGATGTCGCTGCCAAAAAGGGATCTAAGGCGACCATAGAGCTACTTCTAGCACATGGTTGTCCAATGACGTATCGCAGTCATAAGGATCGTCATAACTCCATGTTTGATGAGACCAGAGTCACGGACACGATGGCGGAAAGTGGCAATGACATCGGGTTAAAGGTGTGGATTGAGTACTTGGTAAAGGAGGGACCAATGTATCCGAAGCTTTTGAAGCGGACGATGGTAAGGGGAGTTGTGGGTGGGCATGTTGAAGTTTTGAAGCTTGTCCAGGAGAAGTACGAAGCCCTGTACGGTAATCCTGGATGGGGTCCTCATATGCTTGACCAGGCCATCAGGTCTGGGTCATTGGACGCAATTAAGTATCTGTTCCATCGAGGTGAGGTGGATGCGCACACGCGAACAAGCCCGTCAGACAGAAGGCCGCTTTTGAAACTGCTGCATGAATGTCCAATTCAGAAGAGACCAGATATTGTTAGGTTTCTTCTTGAAAATGGGGCACATCCGAATGGGAATAACCCGCCCAAGAAAAGAACACCCTTCGAAGTGGCCGTCAAGGAAGAAGATTTTGAATCTGCGTCAATTCTATTGAAGTATGGAGCAGCTGTCAACTTCAAAAGGATGATGCCCTTGCTACTGAAGAGTAGCGAGCAGACCTGTGCCGCTTTGACTCAGCTGTTATGGCCTGGAGACAGTCGCCGAGTATACGAGTGGGGAGGAAAATTATATGCTCTCTGTCGTGAGGCGAAGATGATAAACAATGTTGAGGATGTTTTCTTGGAACTGGGGTGGAGCGAACAAGATGTGAAAGGCTTGGGGATTGATCATTTTATCGATGTATGGTAGTGATACCTTGATGTGCGGCTGGGGTAATGGATTGTTACTTGAGGTCAAGAGTGAGATCCAGGATACCAGGCTTTAAGGATATGTTTAACCTTTCAGTCTACCTATTGACATGCATAGGAACTTCCCAATGAGAAAACGCAGATTTATTATTCTATGGCAACGAAACTGTCCGTAATCAGTGGGTGCTTCTCAATGGCATCATGAAAGCTCCCATCAGAGCTGCAAGCACTCCCGGGATCCTGCAACTCATCGAAGGCTGAGTTGGATCGGGGTAGACACCATGAAAGGAAGTCCGAGTCAAGAAGTGTCGGAGACGTCGCCTTCTTCAGTTCTGGCACCTGGTTAATAACACTTAGTAGTTCATCAAATGCCAATGCCAACTTTTCCGTAAAATCCGGACGCTGCTTTAGGTGATTTCCAAAATCACCAAGAGTGTATAGCTTGTCGTACTTTCTTCGGAAATGATCCGTCGCCGCCAAAATTTGGAGTGTGGCAGGATCAGCGTATAGTGCCGCGATCTGCAAAAGGTTCGGGCCTTTCATACGGGGGCAGATAGAGTACTCATGCCATCGATCAAGGAACAACCGTAGAACATTATGACTGTTGTACATAATTGCGGTGGTCAAAGGTGTTGATCCATCAGTCGATACTGAGTTGATGTTTGCGCCATATTCCAATAATAGCATAGCAAACCCAGCATTATCAATCCTTGCCGCATGGATAAGACCGGTCTTCCCGTCATTTCCACTTGCATCCACATCTGCGCCAAAGTCGAGCAGAGATTTCAGAAGCAAAATATCAGTAGCATTTCGGGTAGCGCAATTGAGTGGACTGCCCTTCCTTTCACCGCTAGGATGACATAAATCCGGCTGTGCTCCCGCCTCTAGGAGTAGACGAACGGCAACAGTGTGGCTCTGAGAAGCTGCATTTGACAGAGGACCTGATAATTGAACATCGACAATGTTCGGATCTGCGCCGTGACTAAGAAGTGTGACAATGGCTCGCGTATCCCCTCGGGCGGCTGCCCAGGCCAACGCAGTGCGACCCATGGCATCAACAGCATTAATATCCTGGGGACTGCGGGTTATCTCGTCCTCCAGACTTAACATTGACAAGCCAAGCACAATCCTATGGGTCTTCGTAAACCTTGCTTCGTCTATGAAATCTTCAAGATAACCGTTTCTTGCGATGATCCGAAGGGCACCAACGGCAGTCTCAGAAAGTCCACCTTCGAGAAGAAAATGACAAGCTTTGTTTCTTGGGCTATTGTCACTGGCAGATATTGGTCTGTATTCTGCGTCTGCACCTGCATGGATCAAAAATTCGCAAGTCTCATACTGTTTGCCGTAGAGGGCCCACCGAAGAACGGAATACCCGCGAGAGGTACTGACATCACGTGGAGAAGCCAATCCCTTGCTGAAGAGATATTTCAGGCCGTCGATGTTTCCATTCAATGCGAAGCTGACACATTGTGCGGTGTCAGGTACCCTCCGTATCGTATCGAGGTGTAGCATTGTTCCCACATTGGGTTGGTACCCAACTTGCAGTCGCACGATTGCAGATGACAGAGATGTGAAGGGAAACCAGTACTCAAGGCTGACTTGCCTTGCCCGTGATTTACTGCATGCATGCGTATTACACTTTGGGCTGAAATAAGGGAGTCCGGCGTAGCCAACAAAAAGCTGCCCGAAAACACGGTTGACGAGTGTGGGACTTGTGGCTTTCTGGTGTGAATGGCAAGAACATGGGCAGCCCGAGCGGCAGGTAACGGAAAATGGAGCGACACGAATGCCTATCCCTTCGGAGGTTGGTGTCGCCAGGGCTACATTCTTTTCGGATGAGGATGGAAGCTGCGTTCGAGGAGTGGACATATGGTACGATGATCCAACTTGGGTAAACTGGCTTTCTTGGACTTGATGTGACTGGGTCAGTAGCATCTCCTCAACTCTGGCTATACGTTGGTCGACGGCAGCAAGTCCATTCAGAAAGTTGCTCTCTAAAGCGATCTGCTGTTGCGAAGATTCAAATGTGACAGCCGAGATTGCCTCGATGTCCAAGCGGATCTTTGTCATATCTTGCCTATTTGGAACTTGTCAATAGACTTCACCCTTGTGCCAAAAAGATAAATTTGACTCGGTGGACATACGAGTTTGAAGCACCAAGCATAACATTTAGATTGGCCTTGACGGTTCTAATATCCTCTTGAAGAGCCTGCAGACGACTTTGTTCTTTTCGCCAAGCATGTGCCCTGGAAATCGACATTCTTGACGCGCGACAGGCCACAGTCAGCTGACAAACAATGTCTTTGATTTCAAGTAGCTTTTTATTCGCTTGGTGCAAAAGATGGGGGATAGCCGAGAATTGGGTTTCCGGTAAGAACGCTCGGCTTTTGATGAGCAAGGAGACCTGAAGAAGCACGAGGTTGAGATCTGCGACTTCATTGTTGACCGCGTGAAGGCGCCCTGGAAGGCTTTCACAAAGCGCCCGTAGGTCTGACAGAGCGGAACAAGTTTGAGTGGCAAGTGTTGCGATGGCGATCACACTCGCCCCAAATGAGAGTGGATCCATATCAGAAATATAAGCTTCCAACGTTGGATGAAAGATGTTACAGACTATGTGGAATGTCTTTCGAATAAGTATCCATAAATATAGGTAAGAACATGGGATGGGTCCCTGGGCTTAACGCTGGGCGGTGGAGGTCGTGGACTTTTGCTTTGGGCGCTAATATCGTTATCTCCAACCGCCATGGATTACTCCACATAGCGGTCTTGATTGGATACGATCGTGACTTGTATGCATGTTTGGCTTCATGTTACCTGGAGGCTTTCCGCGCCAACGGTCTAAAAATGCCCTAATAAATAAAGATCCTGCCATCTTTTTCACTACTCATCTTTCCACTAAAAAAAATAAAATAACCGTAAAGTGAATGGGGGACTATTGCTATGAAACGTTGACATTTAGTCCTTTGGTTTACCTGGACCGACGGTTCCCAAATGCCAAATGTGGTAACATACGTTCCTTCTGATATTCTTAAAAGTACCTAGTCAACATAGTGCATCTTCGGTGTGAAATTCTGGTACATGTCGCCAACCGCTCTACCTCGGTACTCTTCGAAGGTTACGAGTCACCCGTGGACGGTACGGTACGGACGGCCCCGCTTTCCCCGCTCCTTAGTCATCCATGGATCTCAGGGAGGGTCCATGGGCGAAAGGCGAACAACCCGTGGATTCAACATGCGAGCCTCTGAATCTTAAGACATAAGGTTGAGGAACGGAGTTTGATATACGTCTACGAACAAGTTCATCGTCTTTCCTCGGTCTCGACATGCGATTCGGTCGGGATTTCCACCATCACACGGTCCCAGAATGGGCATCACTTTATGTCCCCCTATGACTCGGTGAAGGGCGCATTAAACTTGGCAGTCGGGCAGTCAATTGATGCAAAAGTTGAACCAGACTTTTCAGGTTCGTAAGTTCATTCGTCTGCCCGGAACACTTTCTAATAGTGAAAGTAGAAGTGTACACGCTCCTCGACGATAGCATCCAGTCCCTCGGCAAATTCCACCATGAAAGCTGCAACTTTCTGATGACAAGACAAGCAAAGCTTGAGATGAAATTTGAAAAGTTACTCCAAGCAATTCTCTTCTCGGGCCACAAGGAGGATGATTTTTATGAAGTGAAGATCTTCCTGGAAGTCGTCAAAAAACTACACGATGATTTTGAGAAGCTTCAAGATTACTCTCGGTTAAATCAAGAAGCTATCCAGAGACTTTTCACGAAAATAGAGAAGCTGGGCGGTTCCGAGAGCCTACTTTATCGAAAACAAAATTCTAAGTGGGCAAAATCGCAAATTGACCTTCGTACACAATGTGCGAACTTCATAGGCCAGTTCGAGGGTCTAAGGACTAGCGTCATTGAAAGGTCCCCTGATGGGTACCGACCCTCCACAATAAAGGACCTGGTCAGTAAATTCAAATCGGATGACCTGTCAAGCCTCGTCGCTCAATATGCGGCCCTATATCGCGCAATCAGAACCGACGAGCCTTCAAGTTTGGCCCATCCGCTCCATGCTCTTTTGCGCGATCCGTCTTCAGAGCAAGCCTCCAATTCCTTCCTTTATGAACTGGCGGGGCTTGCAGCAACCTGCCACTCTCAGCTTTGCTTTCGATATTTGTTATCAGAAACGTTCACCATGAATGGTGTTGTATTGGATCACGATTTGCTGAATCATGTCATTATCATAGAAGGGGAACTGTGCCTTACACACGCAAACAATGACTTGAAAGTAAGCATCGAATCCGGCAAGAAGAGACACGCTAGCCTGTTTGATATTGCGATTGAATATCTTGCCTCTCGTAAGGAAGACGTTTTGTCTGCGCAAGACACGTTTGGCCGTCTTAGCCTTCATTATGGGGCACTACACGGCATGGATTTCATATGTCAATCAATTTTGGATTATTCTCATGTCTGGGGCTTGGGCTCCGCGTCGAGGCTAATCCTAACACCGGACTGGCAAGGATTTACGCCATTTCACTACGCGGTTATTGAAAACCACGTAGGCGTTGCCAAAATATTTCTGGAAACTTTAATTTCAGAAATTGAATCCGGACAGGTGGCTCAAACCGAAAGACTGTTGGAAAGTCTGAGTGATATGTTGATCCTCGCTATCAGATATCAGCATGATGGGATTGTGTTCGTCCTCACAAAAATATCCTTTGACCTTCACGGATGTTCGCTGTATGGAGAGTCTGCGCTATATGTTGCCGCTCAGATCGGCCGTAGCGACTATGTGAGCGTGCTGCTGGAACACTCCAACGCTGTGTATATAGACACCGCCGAAAAGGTGCATGGGTGGAATCCATTGTTTATCGCTTGTGTGGAAGGCCACCATACCATTGTCGAGCTTCTTCTGCAAGCAGGAGCTAGTCAGGATTTATACGATCATCATGGTTGGACCGCTAAGGAACATGCTGCTTTGAGGGGCCATCTCCATGTCGCTGAGATGCTGAAACCATGGGATACTGGCCACCTTACTGGTGGACCTGCCGGTATGCCGCTGAAGTCCAAGTCTGCCGCCAGGTGTCGTCTTTCCATGAGCAAAAATCATGTCATTGTCAATCTTGGTTCTTTGCGTAACGGCAAGCATGTCGAAGCTGTGAACTTGAGAGGTTCCTCGCCGGACAATTCACCTTACCCAAAACATCTCACTTCGATGAATATGTCAATTTCAGTTGAGGATACTTCACAGCGGGTAAAACTGCCCATACTGAGCGATATGGTTAATGAACCATTTGTTTTTCCTGTCACTAACCCCAGTGAAGCCCGCCTAGCTTTCAAGCTTTACGCTATAGACTCATCGTGTGAAAAGTGCGAGCTAATAGGCAGTGCTGCTTATTTACCAGAGAGCGATAAAGACTGCTTTGGAGCGAATCGTGAGAGCCTCGTCAGAGAGCGAACTGTCCCGATTCTGGAGAAGAGTACGATGGATATTATAGGAACCGTCACTTTCACCTTCGTCATTGCTAAGCCATTCATGGGCTCAAATACTCCCCCATTGATGAAACAGAAACTCTCGGCGGAGGGCCTACAACTTGTCGGTCATAGAGGTACCAACTCCATTTAATCGGCACTTTACATCGCGATATACAGAATTGCTGACAGTAGAAAGGACTCGGTCAAAACACTGCCAGTCACAGTCAGCTTCAGCTAGGAGAGAATACCATAGAGGTATATTCACCAATACCCCGAAACCCTGTCATCCTAACATTTGGAATAGTCTTTTCTTTCTGCTGCCAGGCTTGGCGCTTCGTATGTTGAGGTAAGAAGCTCCAACGCATCGAGTAAATATATTGCTTGCATTCACTAATATTTAACAGTTTGGTAATGATCCATTCAAGTGGAACGCTCCTTTCGCCTTTGCTAACATGCAGCCAGATGTCCAGCTCACTAGAGACCTTTTACCTATTATTTATCACGACTTCTCGTTGAGCGAATCTGGAACCGACATCCCTATTCATGATCTCAGTCTCGAACAGGTCCGTCTCTTCGAACTTTAACATTTTCTGCCTCTAACCTTTCAAGTTTATGCACGCGAGTGAACTTCAATCCCCAAGGGCGAACCAATGTCGGTGCTCGGAAGGCCAAATCCACAGGGCCTATCACATGGGCCGGGCAGGAGAAGAGTCCGTTCACGTTCATTAACAAGGGACCAAGAGCGAGAGACTGTGCAAATCCGGGACAGAATGAAGCACACCGTGGACTTCAAGAACAAAGGGTTCAAGCCGAATACAAGGGGGGATTCCGTGCAGGATTCTTTCACCACGCTGGAAGAGCTTCTTACGAAGCTGCCTGATTCAATCAGCTTCAATATCGAGATTAGTATGTTTCTGGTATCCGAATGAGCACTCGGCTCGCCTTATGGGCTGAAATCTAACATGGATAAAGAGTATCCCCGCCTTCATGAAGCTGTTGAGGCTGGCGTAGGACCAATCGCCATCGAGATCAACACCTTCATCGATCGAATACTTGCCCAGATTTTCCATGTCAGCAGTGGAAGGGCCATTATACTCTCCTCATTTTCACCTGAGATTTGTATTCTTCTAGCAAGTAAGCAGGATACATATCCTGTCCTGTTTATCACCAACGCCGGCAAACTACCGATGTCGGACATGGAAATGAGGGCTAGTAGTCTACAAGCTGCGGTCCGTTTCTCGAAGCGATGGAACTTGGCCGGTATTGTCTTCGCTTCCGAGACATTGATCCTGTGCCCGAGACTGGTGGGCTATGTTAAAAGATCAGGTTTGGTCTGCGGGTCTTACGGCTCTTTAAACAACGTCCCGGAGAATGCCAAAGTAAGTTCATAACGATTTGCCGTCCCATCTCAATATCACAGCTCATTTGCTTTAGGTACAACAAATAGCTGGTCTTCAGATTCTCATGGTCGATAATGTTGCCCTGATCGCATCGGCCTTGGGTAGGTCTTCCACATACCGGACAATGACATGAAAGCGACACCTGGAGATGATCGAAGAGATGGCGCTAATTTTTTAGCAGCTGCATGTGAATATCCGGGAAAAATTCCAACTCGTTTATCAGTTCGCATTGAGTGCCCAACTTCCACGCAGTTGTTTGAGCTTCATAGATTTAGACAAAAAAAGCAAGAGAAAAACCCCCAAAATCTTTTAACAGACCCACACCCACCGGCGTGTCTTGAACGCGGCTAGAAGGCGGCTAGAAGGCGGATCCTTTTCACTATGAAGGCTATCCTAGATGGGTCTTCTTAATATAAATTATATACCTAGGTAGTAAGCGTAACTCTTACAGTTTTAGTAATACTTGTTGAGATCCATTGATCACTCCATTCTATATCCATGCCTTATATTGCCGGCAGACTGGGCGCTTGTTTGCTTTTGCAGACCTCTATAAAAGGCCTTGGCTTTGCTAGTTTGAATAGCAAGAGTCCTTCCTTCGTCATGTTGCAGTCCCTAGTATGTGGCTCCAGAAGTACTATGTGAAGCACGCTACTATCACTAGTTATCCCATTATCCATCCGGTGCGGTGCATAAGCATTGAAGGAGTGCGTCGAGGTTAGATCAAGAGCGGTACGAAGCCACGGCATAGACATTAATTAGATAACTTCGGAGGGTCGAGGCAAAATCTATGGGCAAAAAAATCGACACCTGTGAGATTCGAACTCACGCTCCCGAGGGAAATGCCTAGGCTTACAATTTAATGCATAGCAGGGCATCGCGTTAACCACTCCGCCAAAGTGCCGGATTGATGAAATACTACGCTACTATCACTAGTTATCCCATTATCCATCCGGTGCGGTGCATAAGCATTGAAGGAGTGCGTCGAGATTAGATCAAGAGCGGTACGAAGCCACGGCATAGACATTAACCGGCCCCCCAATTTTTTTTTACCAAAAATGCGGACCCTCGCTTGCGAGGGTCCGCCACCCATATGAAAGGGATCACCCAAATGACAGTTTTTTCTATAGTTTCAATTTAACTAGCATTTACACCACCACCACACCACCACCACGTAGTAAATTAATTAATTTAAAAACAGAGATAGATGAATTGATCAATTTACTACTAGTATACAAAAGCAATTTATTTTCCACTGCGTTTTTTGGCCCTTCCATGCTTCCTGATTCCGACCAACACCTTCTTCCATTTCCGCTTCGTTTTTTCTTGGTCCGCTTCCTCGCTCAGTTTATATTCTTTTAGCTTTATATTTTTTATCTCGCTAGAGTTTATAATACCGGTAATCTGTGCATGACGACGAGAATTGTCATACCGGGCGTGGCGAGCTCCTATAATAGCTTCTATACGATCAAATTCCTGCTATAGCTAGTAGGCTAATATAGCCTACGCTTTAGCACCCTTTATAAGCTTTTCTAACCCCTCTTTAAACCGCTAAGATATAGGAGTATATTAATTAAGCCGGAGGCTTATTCTCCTGATTTTTTTTAGCGGTTTTTAGAGTGCTAAACTTAGTGTTTTATAATATTATAGAGGGGGTATCTAGCCGAGATAAATTATTATCGTAGGGGTTATACGAATCTAATTTATCTATAATAAGCTTAGAATTAATAGACTAAAGGCCTATTAATTTAAATCTAAGCTTAATAGTATATAGTTTAAAGGTTTTTCGACGGATTTCCCCTATTAAATATAGGAATTCATCTTTTAAAAATTTACGGCATCCACTTATTATTATAGCTTCGATAGCCTTACTATACTAGTATTTATATACGCTAAAAACTCCGATATCGAGAGGCTATAATATATAACTAGTATACGATAGTAAGAAGAATAAAATAATATTATTCTTTTTATAAAATTCGATAAACTAACGCGTTATATATAAACTAAAACGATCGTATAATACTAGCCTTTTTATACCTAATATACAACCGATAGTCTATTTATAAAATAGCTAAATCTACTAGTATACTAAGGTATTATTAATATAGCCGGTATCTATAATAGCGAGGTATTTATCTTCCTAAATAGTATTAAACTAGTATACTAATACTTATTTTACACTTAGTATAATAAGCGGCGGATATATAAAACTATCTATAGAAATAGCCTCTAAAATAGCGATAGATTCTCGATTTATGATAGAGCTATTGAATAGCTTCTTTTTTCGGATATCTAGTAATAATAAATTGATCTCTTCCGACACCGATTTAAAAGCTAGTTTCGTTAAAATTGTAGATATCTTATTAGCAAATTCCGTGCTTATAAATTATACGTTCGTAGTCTTTAAACCACCTTTATACTACTGATTTATTAAGAGTAGTAGCTCTTTCAATATCGAGAGCTTTCCGGCGTCGAACGTAGTACTCGGGGTAACGTTTAAGAAAACGTTTTAGCTAGTGATCCCCGATTTGTGGCGGGTTTGTATAGCTATCTTAGTAGTCTTCTTCGAGTATTAAATCTGCTGCTATAGCAATTTGGCGGCGGTTTATCGAGGCTCCGACCGTATCGAAGTATTCAATATATTCATTTAAAGCCCTCTCCTATATAGGAGTAAGCTTCCTACCATTAGATTATCGTTAAAAAAGCGATTTTCCACCTTTCTATCTTCTTCGGAGCCGGCCTTCGGGGACCGCGAATTCTCGCGCAGTTTTTGCAATATTAGGTTTAGATTGATCAGAGAGAGAGTCTATTGCTTTTTCAACCTGTATATCGATTTCTTTATTGGTTTTAGGCATGGTTGGTAGCGTGGTGGGGGATGAATGTGAAAATGGGAGATTTTTAAAAAAAAACTGTCATTTGGGTGATCCCTTTCATATGGGTGGCGGACCCTCGCTTGCGAGGGTCCGTATTTTTGGTAAAAAAAATTGTGGGGCCGGTTAATTAGATAACTTCGGAGGGTCGAGGCAAAATCTATGGGCAAAAAAATCGACACCTGTGAGATTCGAACTCACGCTCCCGAGGGAAATGCCTAGGCTTACATTTAATGCATAGCAGGGCATCGCGTTAACCACTCCGCCAAAGTGCCGGATTGATGAAATACTGTGTTCTTCTCGACGTGATATGAGAATTCGACGGCGGTATTATCACATGACCGCACCGCGAGACAGTGCGAAGTAATTGTGGCACCGCCTTAACCAACATACCTGGTGTTAGTGGGCCCCCTCAACAATAATTGACACAACAATAAAAAAATCGCGAATTAGGTACCTTCTATATGGTGTGCCCATACAAAAGATACAAAAGATACCAGATCAAAAATTTCTATTTTTCTCAACCCTCAAACTAGCTAGAGGAGAAATAAATAGCTTATATATAATAAAAGCGTGGTACGATCCTTTCGCTACTAATATTAATTAATATACGATTATAAGAAGCGATTATAACGGCACTATATATAAAAGTTGTAGATAGAGCTTAAATGTTAGATTACTTTAAGTACGCTTAATATTTCTTACCGATATTGGGACTAAATCAACCCAATTTCCTTTATAAGGAGATATATAGACCTATAATTTCTTTATCTGTGTAGGGGCCTGAGAAAGATAGATATTTTAGATCCGGTATCCTTTGTATCTTTCGTATGGGCACACCATATGATTTTATTGTTGAGTGGTATTTATCGTTGACTGGGGCCCATCAATACCGAGTGTGTTGGTGGCGATTATATGGTTTCTTCGGGCCACTTGAACCTTAAGTTCAAATAAAAAATTAACATATTCCACAAACGAGCTGCGCAGTCCGATACACCATAGTAAATGCGAATATGACAACTAGATATCTCACAACAATTGTCTATATAGGCTTTTTTTTTTTCTTTTTTTTTTTATAGTCTAATGCTTTTTTTCCCTATATAATCCATTCTTGCCCCTTTAAGAGGTTCAAGAAACGTCCCGTGTAAGTAAGAAATTAATATATATCTTTACATGGTTCAAGATGTAACTTTCGATACCATTACAATGCAAGTTTCCAATTCTTTCAGATCGATAAATTCTACTACAAATACTTATCAGCTATCGGTAAATAAAAAAGCATTGAAAATGGGTTGGACATTGATATATAAATCTAGCATATACTACATTTACTATGGTTGTATGGGACTACGCAGCTCGTTTGTGGAATACGTCAATACATTTGCAACTAGCTTCAGTGAGTAATCACCTATCTTCTAAGGTTGCATGCCTCGCGATGCGAACTTAAGGACAAAACAGCCTATATAATAGAAGAGACATAAAGAAAACGAATTATCGAATTATGTTCCAGCGGAGCGAGGTCACCTGCAATATCTCCTGCTTTTTGAGGTTTCTTCACTTCCCCTAGCTAGGTCGTGAATCTTGGACTGGGTTCCAGGCCATGCAATCGTTTTGTGTGGCTTTTTCTCGCATCCCGAGGAACATGCTAGCGGGCTCAACGCAGTTTCTTTCCGGTGACAACCGAAAGACGACGATGGTTAAAAGGCCCAAACCAATGGAATATTGATTATACATAGTACATGATATGCGGCAGAATAGCAATGACCTACCAGTCCTAGTGGATTAAAGGAGTTTGCAATGTTGCTGCCGAAGAGAAGTCATGGACGAAGCTGGCTGGCTATTAACATATTATTTAATATTTAAATTTTGCCACAATAGGACACTTTGGCGGAGTGGTTAACGCGGTGCCCTGCTATGCATTAAATGTAAGCCCAGGCATTTCCTTCGGGAGCGTGAGTTCGAATCTCATAGGTGTCGATTTTTTTGTCTCATCCCTCCACACACGCTCTGGTAGGAAATTACCCCTGTCAGCATCAAATATCCTCTCTATCTATCATCATGCCTTGATAAAAATTTAATCGGGTTGGTTTCTATTCCAAGGTTGACCTCGGGACGTTATTGATTAAGTAAGCGAGCTGTTCTTCCAAGGTTCCATCCAACCTTGGAAGGTTCTTGGAATGTTGACTCCTGAGTACATCGGAACTTTTTTTTGAGTATCCCCGACCTGGTATCCCAAATTTAATAATGCAAGCGACCCATTCCTGATGGCAAAGCGACAACATAGATACTCAAGGTTTGTGCAATATGGGTAATGCATGGGCGGACGCGGTCAATATATATATTTCACACCATTGACGGTGTTAGGCGATACCAGCCTTCTGACGGGCGAGCTTTCACCCACAAAGACTGCAAACCCGATAAGACTCCAGGATCCCGACCATGTCATCGCTATAAAGGACTCCTGGACTTTCTTGTTGCCCTGTACGTCCGACTCACCGAATTCTTTGTCATATTTTATGTCTCGGACCTTCTCCCAAAATATGGAATACCTATAACAAATACCCTGCCCCTGGGTCCCTTTCTTGGCAGTATTCCTGTACAATATAGGCCTCTTTCCATGCTACCCGTGGAAGAGCTTTATAGAATGTGACAGTGTTAGTTGATATTAAAAATGGTTGCACAGGCGGCTAGTAGCTAATCTATTTCTATAATGGAACTAGGTCGCTAGAGCTAAATAGTCAAGGAGCTAGAGACGCGAACTGTTCTTAGCCTTGGCGTCTAACAATTGACCAATGCGGGGATCGACCTTGCTGAACATGGCAGTGACAGCATCCCTGAGCTGATCAGGAACGTCTTCCAGAGTCTCCGACACATTGGAGACCCACTTCCTTCTCTCGCGCTCATCAAAGACCCTGTTCCACAGCTCTCGTGGCTGAAGGAAGTCCTCGTCATCCACCGGAATCTCATTCTGGCCGAGAATAGCGTTCCGCGCGATGCGCTCGGTGTGTCGTACATTAGAAACAATTTGGCTAGGAACACCAGTACCCAGTGAGCTCCGTACATAGTTCGGGTCGCCACCATAGTTTCGGGTCACAGTTCCCATGCCGTCACGCTCGAATGGGGCGTATACAGGGCAGATGGCACGGTTTGGTGGAAGCTGTGTGTAGTTAACACCTAGACGGTATCGTTGAGCGTCGGGGTAAGCGAACATGCGCGCCTGCAACACTGTAGAGACAGATTGTTAGTATTCTGACCCTTCTGATGACGACATCAGTGTAGACTTACTAGGGTCAGGTGTCATTGCGATCCCAGGCACCATGTTAGAAGGCGAAAATGCCGCTTGCTCAATTTCGGCAAAATAGTTCTCGGGCTGGGCTGTTGTTAGCACTTGCTTCCTGTCTAGGATAAAGAGCCACCCACATTCTTGTTGAGAGTCAATTGACCAACTTCAATCAAGGGGAAGTCCTTGTGAGGCCAAACTTTGGTAATGTCAAACAAAGCACGGCCGTAGGTTTCAGCCTGCTCGGTTTCCATGATCTGTACGTAGAGCTTCCAGACAGGCAAGTCTCCCCGAGCAATAGCGTCCCACAAATCCTGGGTGTGGAAGTCGCCGTTTGCGCCAGCCATGCGAGTAGCTTCTTGGTCAGAGAAGTGGGTTATATTTTGGGTCGGCCGGAAGTGGAACTTGCAGTAGCGGAAGCCACCATCGGCTGACACCATTTTGAAGGTATGCACACCGAACCCTGTCACTCGGCGGATCGAATCAGGAATACCACGGGTGCCAAAAAGGTGCATCAAAGCATGGACACTTTCTGGCTGGTTCGCGTGGAAATCCCAAAACTAAATGATCAGCTTCATCGAAATAAAGCTTTTTCTAATTAGCACTCACCATAGTCCAGTCCGGACGGTTGGTGGCAGGATGCCTCTTATGGCTTCTGTTGAGAGAAGGAAACCTGACAGGGTCGCGAACGAAAAACACCGGCTTGGGGATGTTAGAATACGAAACTTGAGAATCAAGAGTGAACACTTACAATATGGTTCCCTACAATATCGTGATTACCTTCCTCCGTGAAGAACTTGACAGAAAAGCCTCGCACATCGCGGACGGTATCTGCACTACCCTTTTCACCGCCAGTAGTGCTCAGACGAAATAGAACAGGCGTTTTCTTTCCCAACGCCATTGAGAAACTTGGCCGACGTGAGGCAGGAAATATCGTTTGTAACCTCAAATTCTCCCCAGGCACCCGCAGCCTTAGCATGGACGACTCTGTTCAGCGTTAGGATATCCTTTCCTTCTAAAAGAACCAGGTCCAATGATCTCAGACCTTTCCGGGATACGTTCGCGGTTGAAGTGCGAAAGTACCTCAATAAGAAGCGTGTCACCCAGCGTCGTGAGGCCGCCACCGCCAAAGGTAGGCAATGTGGTGCTGACGGATGGGTCTGCAACTGGTTGGCCTGTCGGGTGTCAGAATGGGAATACTCGATTGGCATGATTGGTACCATACCTTCCGCCAATGTAAAAGTACGATTTGACATTGGAATCGTTCGTCCAGGAGGTTTCAAGTTCAATTGAGATGAGATGTTACGTGTAAATCGTCTTCTGGGAGACGACCTGCCTTTTATTGACTTTGATCTCGGAGGTCACTCAAGCGCTTGACACTTACCCCCCTCCCCCGCAGGAGGAAAACCCCAAATCGAAATCCGAGATAAGCCCGTTACATCTTGAGGTGACGGAATAAAGACGGGACCAAATGACTTGGAAAGGTAATGTTGATAAGCCTCATGAAGCTCTGTCATGGAAGGCGACCACCGAGCCATGGCCGAGTTATGGCCGACACCGGCAACATTTCCCGCTCTGATTGGCCAACAAATCTGATTATCTCGTGCGGGGAGACCTTTGTTCCCCTCATGAGGGGTTGAAAACTGTCGCTCTTGGAGCTTACATTCCTTCTAGAATACCAAGCTCCAACTATATGCAGGGTTTCATGCAAGGTCCATTCTACCAGCCCTACCAGCCCATGGCTGAAGAGCCTGCTTTAGTCATGATGTCTCTAGTAAAGCGGAAAGACCGGCAAGACAGTCTGTTTGAAGACGCTTTTGCGAGGAGTGGAATATAAAAACGACATGGTGCCTCGTCGATTCTTGGTCTACACACACAGTCTCACAAAAATTGAGCGAGCCTCACTCTTTCCTATTATCTTATCAAACCAACAAGTCCCAAACCATGGTTTTCGTTTCCAACGGCTCTGAGTACGACTTCATCATTGTCGGCGGTGGTACCGCTGGCAATGCAATTGCTGGTCGCCTTGCTGAGAATCCCACTGTCCGGATTCTGGTTGTCGAAGCTGGCATCCCCAACCCTGATCAGATAGAACAAATCACCACCCCGTCGAAAGCTTTCACCCTTCGCGGAAGCAAGCACGACTGGTCTTACAAGACGACCATGATCAAGCGCGATGACTACGAGCGCGTCGAAAAGCCCAACACCCGCGGAAAGGCTCTTGGTGGTAGTTCGTGCGCCAACTACTTCACTTGGATTCCTGGCTCGAAGCCTACCTTTGACGACTGGGAGGCCTTTGGTGGCCGTGACTGGAATTGGGACTCCTGTGTGGAGTACCTCCGCAAATGCGCCACCTACCACGACGATGAGAAGCTTTATCCGGCCGAACTGAGCAAGATTGGGACCGGTGGGCCTGTGCAAATATCCCATGCCGACTTGGTGCCAGAGATGAAGCCGTTCCGCGATGCGCTAACTGAGGCCTGGGTTTCCAAGGGCCAACCTCTGAGCGAGGACATCTACTCCGGCGAGATGAAGGGTCTCACCCACTGTGTTGATACCATCCACCAGGGTGAGCGCCAGGGTAGTTTCCTTTACCTAAAGGACAAGCCTAACGTAACAATCCTCTACGGCGTTCACTCGAAGAAGTTGCTTATCGATCCTGCCACGCGCATCTGCTCCGGTGTCACTGTGATAAGCGAATCTGTCGGCCACGAAATCAGCGTCTACGCCAGCCGAGAAGTCATCCTGTCTCAGGGTGTCTTTGAGACCCCCTAAGCTTCTCATGCTCAGCGGAGTCGGACCAGCAGCGGAACTGGCCAAACACGGGATTACTCCCATTGTGGAATCCCCTCATGTCGGTCAGCATCTTCTTGACCACCCAATTGTGCCTTTCGTTCTTGAGGTCAAGGATGGGTACAGCTTGGATAACCACATCCTCCGTCCCGGTCCTCTAAATGACAAGGCGCTGTCCACCTACCAGAAGGACAAGACTGGCCCTGCAAGCTCTGGGTTCTTGGAACTTGTGGGATTCCCCCCGAATTGACGAACGCCTGGAGAAATATCCTGCCTACCGCGAGGCTAAGGCTGCCAACGGAGGCCTGGATCCTTTCGGCCCAGCAGGACAGCCTCACTTTGAGCTGGATTTCGTTGGCTTGTTCAGCACCGCATTCCAGTGGCATTACCCTATGCCCGAGAAGGGCAGCTACATGACCGTTATTGTCGATCTGCTGCGGCCCCTTTCCGAGGGTGAAGTTACCCTGAACAGCTCTAACGCACAGATTCAGCCGAATATCAATCTCAACTTCTTTGGCAATGACTTGGATATTCTGGCCATGCGGGAGGGTGTACGTTGGACATATGATCTTCTGACCAAGGGTGCTGGATTCAAGGACATTGTTGTCTCGGAGTACCCCTGGAAGATGCCCCTTCATTCCGATGATGATATGGACCGGGCGGTTCTGGATCGCAGCCAGACTGGATTTCGTGAGTGACCACTTTGTATATACCGGAACGAGTCTAATACTTTACTTTACAGATCCATGTGGTACCGCACGTCTCTCGAAGAGCGTCCACCAGGGCGTTGTTGACTCAAAGCTGCGAGTTCATGGAGTGCGCAACCTCAGAATTGCAGATGCTTCTGTCATCCCTGTTATCCCTGATTGCCGTATTCAAAATTCGGTCTATATGATTGGCGAGAAGGTCAGTAACAATTCCCCAGGCTCCTAGAATAAGACTAACACATAGTAATCTAGGGGGCGGATATAATTAAATCTGAACACAAAGACCTATATGAGACCAAGAACATTCCCCATCTTGTCTCCAGCAAACTTTGATGGGGATTTCTTCAGGCTGCGTGTGATGTGTTTACCATATGCTCAGATGTAAATTGTTTTGGTCGACTTATATGTCTTCTTGCTCTTCACTCCGTGGTCATCATTTTATTGAAATATGTGCTGTTTTATTCTTCTTATCAATTCTTGTGCTAGCTCGCTCTAATCCATACATTATGGATCGACAAAAGAGCGCTATTACCACCAACAATACTAAAACTAACAAAATGCCTCAAATGTGTCCAAATAGGCAACCAACAAAACTCTTTTCTAACCATGCCTGGTCTTTTTCCGATCCTTTGATGATCAGCTGCTGGGAAATACCAGTGATTTCCTCCATATCGTCCTTGGTCACTTCAGGGCGATACAAGGTCCACGCAAAGAGGCAAATGCCCACTCGAATTGCAATTTTGAAAGCCAGCTCTTGATCAAGGCGACCGTACCCTCGTACGAAACCGTTTATCATCTTCATAGCTCGACCGCCGTTGTCACTATCCAGATAATGCTGTTTATAAAGGGTAAACATCATCAGTGCAATGTCCTCGGCGTGAGACCCATAGCGACAAGTTTCCCAATCCACAATAGCCAGTTTGACCAGATGACCAGGATTTTGTGGTGGCAAGTTTTGTGGTACGATGCTTGATGCAGTCAGTAAACTGTCGCGGTAAATATAGGAACCCAACAAAGAAAATTACTTTCTGGTTGAAAAATCACCGTGTACAACGTCCAAGCTTTCACGAACTCGTCCTTGTTCTTCCAAAATGTATCGCCGGACGAGCGGATCAATGGTGTTGGCCAAAATTTTGCCTATGGTAAACTTGTCGAGGAATTCATGCGATATCTGATGTTTCCGAATACTGAGTGCAACATCTTTTTTCATTTCCTTTCGGGTCCAGTTGTGGAATGACGCAGCCCAGATTCCCAGAGCCCTGCCAATGGAAGTTGCCGTTTTCGACGAAATACTTTTCGATGTGGTTGCATTGTTGAGGATATCATCGAGGCTCTTGTTCTCACCCATATTTTCCAGGATGATCGTATGGCTCTTTGGGCTAAAGTGGTAGAGTTGCGGGGTACGGACACAAATGAAATCGTGCATAACGGCTGATAGTGTATCTCCGACGGCATGCAGCATAGTCTGTTCAACAAACTACTGGGCAATTTAAGCTGGTTACTCAGAAGTTCTGGAATGATTCAAGAGCTTGGGGATAGGAATCGTACACAGCGATCTATCGGGACAGAAATCCCAACTGAGCCAGGCCAGTACGCTTCGGCATGCTTTACTATCACAGATGGTGGATCATTGCAGAGAGACATGAGGTAACCTCTATAGGTGAAATTCATCAATCCTCCGCCCACTATGCTTAGACTCGAGAAGGCATAGGGAGTGCCTTTGAATTCCTCCATGATCACGTTCATGACGACGAGGTGGCTTTTCTCCATCCCGACTGGAATTTCATGACCCTGGGGTAAAGCAGATACTGGTGTATCTTTAGCCATGTTCCAACACGACTAAAAGTGTTAAGACAATGAAGTCAAAAATTGAGGTGGAAAGAAACCAAGGAAGTGCGGCTGAAGACATGTGTTTGCAGGTCATTTTTCTCGTCCTAGTTAATGCAAGGGGGTCCATACCCCAACAATGAGATAGATCATGGTGTCCTGGAAGGTAAATGCAAAATCTAACCCTTCTTGTCATGTAAATCATGTACACAACTATATTACACCTATAGCTATACCGTAATGTGCTTATACCAATGTGCTCCTTGCATATGTATGTGCTGGATGCCTGTAGTCTCTCAACCATTTCATTCCCATAATCCCCGAATCCTACTCTCCTTATACCACACAGAAGTTTGGTAATTGATGATTGTTACTCAGAAAAGTGCTTTTGAGGGGACCATACTGTTTGAATTTTCTTTGGGAAATACAAGGGCGAAGGAGCGGTATAGGAAGTTGGTACACTACCTACGGCAGTGTATAGCCGTCAGTGCGTCGTCATATGATACATTTCCATATTAAATTTTGACTATCATACCGCCAGTTTACTATTACCTACAATTGGGGGCTAATAAATAATCCCTACATTAGTGGTCTTCTTAGGTAGTCTTCTCCATAGTCTTTTTATGTATCTTCTTAGTGGTCTTTTTTAGTGATCTCCTCAGGTAGTGTCTCTAGGTTCTAGTTATGTAGATATCTACTCGCCCTCATAAGTTTATTTAGTAGATGAGAAAAGTGCTAAAAAAAGGCTAAACCCACCAAGGCTCAATGGCCCCTGAGCTCTATTCTCAAATAGGATGAACCCATAATTCCAATCTAAAATGGAAAACCTCCCTGATTGAACACCATCCTTTCAATAGAGCTTCAATAGACATGATTTACAAGAGATTATTGCTGATGGACCCAATATACCTTCAATCCTAATCCTTGAAAGCCCAGTTACACAGACATTAGTCTATCAAGCCAAGTCAACCTTGTATCTCTCCCTCAGCTTCGTACCAAGCCGCCAAAGTGCCAAAGACCCAGTCCCAAAGAAGAGTGCTAGAAAACCAAGTAAACTATTACCCCAGCCATATCCCAGGCGTTCATATAGTCGAGGCCCACAAAGCGGCAGCGCGCCACCAGATATACAGCGAATGAAGCTGACTGCTGCTAATGCACTGGCGGCATACTTGGAGAAGACGTCCACTAGGTAGGTATTGACGCTGTTCTAGAATGCGGAATGGGTTAGATCGGTACCCAGAACATGGCGGGGATACTCACAAATGCGAAGATCATTCCTCCGCCGAAGATTGCAGTACCGATGATGGGTACAATCCAGTGCGTTTGGAATTGTGCAGTCCAGCCGTAGAGAATGAGACCAAATGGGAGTGCTATTGTTGCAGGGAACAGAAAGAATAGGCGACACCTAAATGAAGCTTAGCATGTGAGTCTTTCTTTTATCGAAAAGCCGAAGGAAAAGGAAAAAAAAAGAAATGATCAGTATGAACATACTCCGGAAGTCCAGTCTCATGACCTAATTTCTGCTGCTGGCGAACATACATCCGATCACTGTACCTCCCAGTCACTAACAGTGCCAGCAGTGATCCTATTCCAACTCCCAGAGGAGCAAGACCCAAACGCCCTTCACTCCATCCATACAAGTCCCGAAACACAAGAGGAATGGATGTGAAAAGCAGGTAGGTAACACCATAGATAAAGCCCATATACACTGATCCAAGCATGAGAAGGGGATGAGTGCAGAGTAGTAAGGCAGGCCGCCGTAAGGCTTGCAGTACTTTCTGCTTTGTAGGGACATTAGCATTGCCGCGAGCATGGAGAAGCTGGTTTCCGGTTTCACGCCGAAGCTGGGCGGCCTTGCGCTGGAGTATGACGGGACTGTAGGTCTCTCGCAGAAGTATAAAGCCTACGATGGTTGTGACTCCACTCTGTTTTGAATTTCAGTAATCAAACCTGAGCTTTCGGGCTTGGGAAGCATACTAGTATTGTCATTAGCCAGAAGATCCACCGCCATCCCTTGGTTTCTGCTAGAAAGCCGCCCGCTACCGGGGCCAGAGTTGGTGATAGGAGCAAGGCTGCGTTAAAGATACTCATTATTCTAGCAAAGTCAGTCATGGACAATTTTATGTCGCTTTTATAACGGGGTTGACATACAGGCCATGTCGGTTTCGGGGGATCATGTCTGCAATAGTGCCGCCTGCGTTTGCAACTGGCACTCCACCGGTGAACCCAGCCAGAAGTCGAAACACTAATAGTGCACCAGTGTTAGGCGAGAGCGCACAGCCTACTGAAACGATGGTATACCATATGTGTCCAGTGTGGTAGATGCGGCAGCGACCGTACACTTCTGACAATGGAGCAAATAAGAGAGGTCCAATGGCATATCCAACCATCTGTGAGAAGTTAATGAACTATTTTTAAATGCGAAATCCAGGGAAATGTCACATATATAGAGAGCGTGAGAGTGGCGACGGTTTCGGTGGTTTTAAACTCATTCTGGATCTGACCCAGGGCTGGGGACATCATGGAGGATGCGAATGTCCTGAAGACAAGTTAACAAATGAATGTTTCACGTATATGTCCCGTCAACACACGTCAGGAAGCGGCTCAAGGTCACCACAAAAACTATTGCGGCCTTTTTTCGTGTTGGCCAGTTCGTTGGCATTTCGGGATCATTTGAGCCATCCCAGTCCACCACATTGTCAGCTGCCTCGACCGATTCACTCCTACTAGCGAGTGCATTGGAATCGGAACTGAGATCACTTTGTTGCTCGGCTTTTTCTGTCATAATACGGAAAGCTCGTACTGCACAGAATAAAGCAAAGGTGAAAGGGGAGTCTAAAACTTGTCAGGATCCCCCTGCTCAGAATACCAGAGCAGACCATGGCAAATCATGACCCCTTTTGCCGGAAAGATTTCCCGACACTTAGCTAGGTTATTTATTTAGAAAACAGCGAATACGCAGTCAGAAATTGTGGGTAATTTAATGTGTTTCTATACAATGTCATAGAATCTAATCATGCTTTACATTATTGACTTTGGAGAACTTAAACTACAGCTATCCTTCAATTATCTACAACATAACTTTTGTGAGACATGAGACAACTTAGGAATCTTTTCCAATCTCCCTCGCCATCTTTCAATAATGTAGACACGAAAGGGAGAAAATGTAGATCGGGAATCAGTAAAAGCAGGGGGTAGTTCCTGCAAGGGCCCGGGCCGGCGGGCAGCGCCGCATCGATCTGGCCCCAAGCCATACCGATCTAAAGGTTATCATGAATGGCTACCCTATCACGCTGCCTGGTGGTGCCACTCGTGTAATAGGCCTTTGGCTCTACAGGAATCGTCTGCTAGAGTTCTCGCCATCTAGAGCAAGTTATCGAAGCTCCACTTAAATATAAGGTTGAAGCTGCAGTCCGGATGTTATCGAAACGACTTTGCATGGAGAAGAGTTTGCGAGATCATGTTTCGAGCGTGAAGGCATATCTACGAAACCCTTCTAAAGGACCCGAATATCCTCAACAGCATTAAAATCACGGAGCATTGTATCTACCTCCCCTTCCTGCGACATGGCAACCTACGCGATTATCTTCGAAGCACAAAGGAGAAGACCGAGACCAAGACCGAGAACGGTGGATAACAAAAATTTTTATGTTTTATGTTATATGAATAGAGCAATTTAGTAAAGGCAAAAGAGCTAGGGAAAGAAAAGCTTAATTTAAAACAAGCGAATTCTTTCAGCGATAGGATACATAAGGGGGTTAAGAGAGAAGACCATGGATGAAACGAACCAGCGACATGCCGAATTCCACTACCAGTGACTCGGTAGGTAAAAAAAAAAGAAAGAAAGAAACCAATCAAGAAAGGAGATAGCGATTTTCGGGTGACTAGGAGCGTGGTCTGTTCTCCTTCGCATCGCGTGGAGGGCGGATTGGAAGGTCAATTGGCGGTGGTGCGGCCAATAGGTTGGTTGATGTTATATGGGAGACGTAGGTATATGCCGGGTCATCCGACAACATCGCCCACATCTCTATAGGGATCGAGAACAACACAAAAAGAGACCTAGTGTATTCAGCCTCAACCTTAATGGAACCTGGTTGCACCCCAGGAACCTGTGGAGACCACTGTTTCCAGAAAATGATATGACTGGATTGACTGGATTGACTGGAATGGCGAAGGTCGAGGTGTCAAACCCGTAGTGGTCTCCGAAGACTGAGAGGTGTTCAGTCTCTAGGGGCACAACGTTGAGATTGTCGTTGCCCCAGTGAAAAGCTATCACCGATACCTTGTCATAAAGGCGTATGTTTGACGAGTCAACATATGCGAGCGCAGGTCAGACTCGAATTGTGGGACCAGTTTGGCCCGCTGGGATCTGGTGACGATCCCAGAAAAAGCGTGGGCTGGCCTTGGCGTGGGGGTGGTGGGGGGGATTCATGTTGATATTTTGATCAAAGCATTCGAAGATTGCAACCTGTAAGCCAAGCCTTGCCTAGGTCGATATCGGATGCTTGAAAGGAAACTTGGTAAACTAACATCACCCATCTATAGGCAACTGATTAGCGATGTTTCTTAAGCATTGGTATAGTGATCATGATCAAACCTACCTTCTGATCGGTGAATCGATTATTTGAACTCTTGGTCCCTTTGACCCTTGAATACCGAGCGTTGTAGTAATCCATGATAGCATTTCAAGTCCCTGTTGCATCAAGACTTCCTTTACCGAACTCGCTGACAGATGTATAGCCTTGACTTCAACTAAGACCTGCATTTCCCAATCGGGATCTAGCAGACCGCCGTCGACAATTGCTTTGTATTGAGCCTCACCGGTATGCAAATTGAGATGATGCTGGATACTGTCCCACTTTAACTCGGTCGGCAGTAATAAGCAGATTGTGTAAAGCAAATTGAAGAAGCTCATATTGATATTCGCTTCATGCGTTCGCCTCTTGGCGTCGGAATTGCCAAACGGTTTCTTGGCTGCAATGGAAGTCAACAATTGTACCCAGCCCGTCAATTGGCCGAGCGTGACCCACCCGTCGAAATGAGAGAGGCAAAAACAAAAAGAGATGCCCTCGTCCAGGATCGAACTGGAGACCTTCGGATGTCAATCTTGTTACCAAGAATGTCATATGAAAGGATATGAGACCGACGTCATGACCAAACTAGACCACGAAGGCTGTTGACCGAATTGTCTGATCGACCATCCGGAGCGATTGTTCTTCAAACGGGTTGGATGACATATAACTCAGTCAGTTGCGGAGACCTGAGAAGCGTACATAAAGTACAGTAAACCCAATTACATTGAGAAGGGAAAGTTCGAGAAGTGACTTGATAATTGAGAAGAGTGACCTCTGATCGAGGTCATGGCTTCCCCGATTAATCCTAGGTCACGTGGTTACATCCTTACTTTCACTTTGGATTCCTTTCACAACCCAAATCATAGGAACTCCAATCCCAATCGGATCTCGCAGTTGTCAAAAATTGCGTCATAGTCAAAACGCTTTACCTGCCCCATTGGACTAAACATATCTGTCTCGTCATCTCTTTCGCGTTAGCTCCCAGCTTGTCTTTCGTTCTTTGATATTGGGGGAAAATCTCCAAGCTAAGCAAGCATCCAAGGGTTCCTATCATTCATCCTAGTTTCTCGACAACAAAGAAAGCGGGCAAAAAGAGTGCCGAGAAATGAGTGCCGAGAAATATATAGTTGTACGAATCGAGTCTAATGGCTTACAGCCATTTCTTCCGAGGAGATATCCTTTGTTATAGTTATACCGTGTCTTTGAACCTCCAAACCCAAATTCACTCGATCTCAAGTTTGGGATTCGGCCCTTTTTCTGTAATCATTCTTTGTTTTCATGGAAATGTTGATTTTATTCCATCGGGTATTTGTACCCTCGACTCATTGCATTCGTACTAAGGCAATTTGAATTTGCCAGGCTAAACTTTCTGAGACATATTTTTCTCCAACATGTCGGAGGGATACAGCTTCCGACGCAGTACTCTCTTTCAGAAACTACCGCCCCATATACCCCGGGGATCACCACGAGATCCAACTCCACGCATAAAGCTCAATATACAAGACTTAGACCTTACCAAGTCCTACTTTAGCAGTTTGGTGCCGCGTCAACGACTAGCGAGGGTAAAGAAAAACAGACCATGGGGCAAATGGACGGGTGCCACCCCCCTCACCGACCCAGCTCAACTTCCTCCTGGCTGGCATATGAATGAGGACGATCTTGAAATCGAGTAAGACGGCATTGAATCCGAGTGTTCGATACAAGCAAAGAGCTAATTTGTAATCTAACAGCGATATCGATGGCCAAATCCAAAGATGCCACGAGAGAATTGCCGAAAACATAATGCCCCATGTCTTCCAGCAAAGGTTGGCCGAGTATACGGCTGCAAAGGCCCAAAATGAGTGAGTCTTTTATATTGATGTTGCTCTCGGACAAACTCTCACCTTACTATATTGTAGTCTGAAGAGGTTCCCCGGGTCTGACTGGCTGAGCTGGGATACCATTGAACGGGTGCATACGTTGGAGGCCATGAAGACAGATCTGGCGAATACTACAGATAAATACGAGCAGCTTCCAAACATTGACGCTCTCTTGAACGCATATAAAGCGGGAAATCTTGAGTGGTATACCGGTCTTGTTACATATTGGTCGAGGGGAGTCCGGTTATGTCAACCAAGACCATTTGACTGGGATGAATTTGAAGCGATCAATACCCACTGCAATGGCGACAAAGGATTTTGGACTGAAGGGGTAATCTATCTCGTCAACCTTTCCAAACCAACTAGCTAATGAATAATATCAGATCAGCGGGCCTGGAAGTGTGAGCTCCTATACAACAATCACGATTAATCCAACCAGGATCCCTAGAGGGCTAATTGCCGTAAGATCCAGATGGCTCAACCCTGTTGCAAGTTTCTCTAACTTTTTCATCCAGATCAAATTAGCCCTTCGTCTTCCAGGAGTAGCTTGGTTCGCCGAGTTAGACTTTATCTACGACACTGGGGCGAATATGATGTCTATTTTCGAAGGAGATCTTAGCACGCTTCTTGGCCCATTTGGCGTAGGTGGTGGGCCAGGCATACCAGTGATAGGTGTTGCAACGGTTACCACTGGTGGTGGCACCGTAAACAAACAACACATTGAGATGGAAGTCACAATCCTCGATGGAAATCGTGACAGAATGACCCCTTGGACTAGAACGATATGCGCTCTCAATGATGGTGACTGGAGACCGGGCGGCGTCCCCCGACTAGATGGCCCAATTGTGCGAGACTTGTTATATACGGGAAGTGCACCTAATAACCTCCGTCAAATAAACATCGCAACCACGAAATCTCAACTTGACCTGATAGACCTGGACCTTGTTGCCCACCCACCACACCACAATCCAAGAACTAGGCACATGGTTCCCCCGCCACCAGGAACGATCGCTAATACACCTGGTCTGTGGTTACTTGGGGGGGGCTCAAATGACAATGCCACAAGCAGGACCCGGAGTTGCTCCTTGAGAGTCTCACAAACCTGTCTTCTTTGCGGGACTGTCGCTTGTGCTTGGACATATGTCTCACTTCGAACTATTTTTTTCCTTGTGTGTTGTTGATTGGAGTGTATCGCTGTGTGGATTCAGCTCAGTTCGGAACATTTGTTGGGTTTGTGCTGTTATTTTGTGTTATATCGGTGCAAGCCAGCTCTGCGAATGACATCTTGTTTTCTTATGTTACTGTAATACTTTTGCAGCTAGGGATAGTGGGCATCCCGGCATACTTATGAGATCAATGTCTTTCTCACTCTGGGGCCGCAGATTATATGGTTTTCTGACTTTGTCATATCTAGGTAGACCTCGGGTGTAGCTGGTGCCGATCTCACCAATATCTAGGGCAAAGTGGCCCATGCAGATCGTTGGCACCTCTCACTTTTTCCCTTCTTCCTCCCTCTCATACCTAAAGCTCACCATGGTAGATTACTTCTAAAAGTTTCTATTAGAGAATAAGGGCTCAACCATGAAGGAGTTGTCGGTAAACAAATATAATAATGATTTTATTGATCGGTAGTTGTTTTGATGCCCCAGGGCACGGCGCACGTGGTAGGACCCACCTCGGGTAGCTCCTTCTATCCCTTCTCTCCCGTCTTCCCGCTTATTCGATGTCAAAGGCAGTCACAATTCATTGCCATCCGTTTTCTTCAAATGGGTGTTCGAGCCGAAAATTTTCGAGGATTTGACAATTGTCACTAGGAGACAGCTGGTCCTGCGGTCCGCACCAATTAGCTCCAACTAGCCAAGCTCTGATGGAGCTCTAGAGAGCAAGTCCGATCATTTGTGTCTCATTCGGCCCCACGCCACTTCTGATGTGCTGCGGGTCACTGATATAGGTTAGAGGAACAGCGAGATGGTAGCAACCTCGTCTTTTCAGTTCTTTTTCCGAGCTCTAAAGAAAGTAATGCTCGCTGGGAACCAAGAGGAAGAAGATGACTCCGAATGATGTGATCCCCGAAATTCAGGAAATTTTCGTGGCTATAGCGTAGTCAATAAACTAACTGCAAATAAGCGTGCCGCGGTATACTAGCGTATTGCAACTACTAGTGGCAATTTATCAACGCTTGCACTGCAGGGTCCACAGTTAATTACCGCCATGGGAGAGTATGATACGGAGAGAACAATACCCTTGTTACGAATTTTTTTTCCTTCCCCCGGGGCGTTCCATTTTAAACTGTGCTTTCCCCAGCGAGTTCAATTGCCGAACCAGACTCAACCATCCATCATGACCGTCAATGAGAAAGCAAATGTATATGACACGGAGGTGGGAAGTCCTAGGGACTCCACTGAGGAGCACGAGGTCTTCAAGAAGACCGAGGACGGTGTGAGCTTTCGTGGTGTTGGCTGGTTCAAGGCATGCATCATCTTTGTGAAGGTCCTCTTCGCGACGGGTGTGCTATCGCTGCCAGCTTCATTATACTCCCTCGGTGCGGTGGGTGGTTCAATCAGTATCGTCGCATGGGGTGCCTTCAACACTTACTCCTTCGTGATCTTGGGCAACTTTCGCAAGAAGCATCCTCACTGCCACTCTATTGCGGATATGGCAGAAGTTGCCGGCGGGCTCTTCGCGAAGGAGCTTACCGGTTTACTCTTTCTCATCGGCTATGTCCTTGTCACGGGCAGTGGTATTATCGGAGTGTCAACGGCCTTGAATGCCCTCTCACACCACTCCGCGTGTACTGTCTGGTGGTCTTTGATTGGAGCGGTTGTGATCGTCGCGACAGCTTCGGTGCGCAAACTCCAGCATGTGGGCTGGCTCACATACGTAGGATTCATTTCGATCTATGCCGCAGTTTTGATTGTTGTCATCGGAGTCACAACGCGCGATCGCCCGGCTGCCGCACCCCAAGAGGGCCCCTACGACCTCGGCTTCGTAGCTATCAACAACCCCGGATTTGCCGCCGGCATGGTTGCTTCCAGTACTATCTTCGTCTCCACGGCTGGTACCAGCGCGTTTATCCCGGTGATGTCGGAGATGCGAAACCCGAAGGATTATAAGAAGGCGTTATACCTGTGCATGATTGTTGTCAACGCGTCGTACCTTGCTTTCAGCTTGGTTGTCTACCGTTGGTGTGGACAATGGGTGGCCAGTCCGTCTTTGGGTGTACGTATCCCTCCTTCGCTTGACTGGGCTTGGATGTAATTAGCTAATTCTTGTCGTCTACAGAGCGCAGGACAGACCATCAAGATGGTGTCTTACGGTGTTGCACTGATAGGACTAGTCGTGAGCGCCACGATCTACTTGCATGTGAGTATCTCCTCGCGACGAAAGCAGCCGGAACTGACATTGTTCTTTAGATTGCTGCCAAATACATCTTTGTGCGCATCTTGGGTAAAACGCGTCATTTGCAAGCCAACACTGTTGTTCATTGGGCTACTTGGATGGGATGCACGATTGGTCTCGGCGCTATTTCCTTTATCCTCAGCGAGACTATTCCTATCTTCAACTATCTGGTTGCCCTGATTGGGTCCGTTTGCTTCGCCCCTCTAGCCATGTGTCTTCCCGGGTTCTTGTGGCTGCACAGCAACGGCCACTACCGGAAGGGGACAGTTATGCAGAAGGTGATCTACCTGCTGCACTGGGGGATGGTACTTCTGGGAATTTTCTTCCTCGTTGGTGCGACGTATGGTGTTATCATTCAGATCATTGACGCCTACGCAACGGGAATGATTGGTATGTTTTGCCACGATTGTGCAGAATTTGCGACTGACACTTTTCTTAGGCTCCACTTTCAGCTGTCTCGATAACTCGAATTCATCGTGAATACGGGTCTTCAGGAAAATAGTCTATGCTGGTCGAGCTGCTTCGGCTCCCAATTGGAGCAGTGATATATATACGGTCAACACGTGGTGTGGATGGACATAATGAGTGGTAATGAAGGAATTCTATAATGAGGGCCCGGGTGGTCATAATGTAATGAGTTGTCATAGAATGGTATCAAGTCTTGTTTTCCTCTTGTTTTCAAGGCTCGCCTAACTCACAATTACTAGTGCCGCCAAGCTAACCAGTCCCCACTCCCACCCAAACCTGCTCTCCGTGTGGTTCCCGGACGGAGTTACGCGACCCCGGGACCCCAGTTCTAACTGCATTCGGTCTGGCTTTGGTCCATCAGCACTTTGATTCCTTCCCGCTATTCTTTTTCTTATCTGAGAGGTTTCTGGGCATGGGTCCTATTCCCGCTTTCATGACACATACCATTATCTCATTGCTCTAGACTCCACGAGACCTGACTGAGTCTCAAACTTGTGGCATCCCGTGTGGATCCACTCGCGTCGGTCCACGACTTTGAAGTTTGCGGCCTCGTGGCCTTGGATGTGGGGACTGAGTATCGCGCCATCCACGATGCCTTCTCGCGGCTGCTAGCCGCTGTTGATCTCGGACACCGCGCTATACGAATGCTTCCGGGTCGGGCGACGTCCCATTTCTCACCAGGCGGAAACATATCGAGTACTTCCTTTCGATAACCAGGACTCAAATCACATCTATCGCTGCCACACCGAAGTCAGCATATACGAGTACAACCTTGAATGGGATGGAGATGAGGGAACACCGCCCGTTCAGCGGTACTTGGGATGTACATTGATGGGTGAGTTGGTCATCACCAACGAATATTGGCGTGGTCACTCGACAAAGACATATCCCATATCCGTGAGAATCTTGCCTGACTCATGCCGGGACACGGATTTCAGTCGACTATGGCACGCACTGGCAGTCAAAAGCCATGGACCTTGACTGAGCTCCACTTTTGACGGGTGAGGATTCTTGCTAGGAGGGACACGTTCGCAGCCAAATCTGATGTCATGGCCCCCTTTTTACCTTGCCCATAATAGCAAGTTTACGGTAACAGGACTCGAATCACTGGATGCCTTTATTGTTGGACTACCGGTTATGGTCGGTTGTCCCGTTTCGGATTACCGGCTTGGCAACACTATCGGTATTAATCCTTGTCGGGGCGAACGCGGGGTATCCTATGCCGGCCTGGCATACAAACGAAAGATTACCTCGGATATATACAGCGAGTCAGGCTGAAGCTATAAGTGGTATAACTAAGCTCTGCAGTCCACGCGGTATTTCCAGAACTAGCCAACACCTGCAATTATACACCGTACAGCTACGATTTAGCTAGCAATGCCTGTTCCCAAATACAACTACAACGGCCCAATCGACCACACCGTGGTTCCTGATCTAGCCAATGCCAAAGGCAAATCTGTCATCATTACCGGAGGCGCAAATGGAATGGGCGAGGCCATGGTGCGAGCCTTCAGTGAGGCCGGTGCCTTTGTTACCTTTGGCGACCTTCACCCCGAGGAGACGACCTCGCCAAGGAATTGAACGCGAATGGTGAAACAGTCGCGTTTGTCAAGTGCGATATTACAGATTGGGACAGCCTGATTACACTATTCGAGACGGCCAAAGCCAAGAGCCCGCATAACAGCGTTGATGTTGTTATTGCAAATGCGGGAATCTCGCGTGCCTCCGGTGACAGTCTGTGGAATCTCGATGGTAAGTCTGTTCCTATATGATAACTGAAAGTTCGAGACAGTCGAACTTGAGCTGTGTATAGTTCTGTGCAATAAGACACTGACACTTCACAGACCCCAATGGGCCACCCACCAAGCCTAATCTCAACATTGTCCGAGTCAATATGGACGGGACATTCTATACCTGGAAACTTGCAGTTCATTACTTCAGGAAACAACCCGATACCGAGGACCGAGATCGATGCTTCATCATGACTGGAAGTATGGTCGCATATATTGATTCACCGGTAAATATTCCATCAGAGATTTTCTTAAATTACTCATTCTTGCAAGTAATTCCACAACTAATCATGGGATCAGGGAAACTGGGAATACACAGCGACCAAATATGGCCTCCGCGGCTTCATGAAGACTGTGCGTCGAAGCAGCTGGGAACAGGGAATCCGAATCAACTATGTCGCGCCATGCTGGATCAAAAGCGCTATCCGCACGAAGGAGTACGAAGATTGGTTGATTGAGCGTGGTGTCGAGTTCGGCGAACAGGCCGATTGCGCCGGTGCGATGATGCGGATCGCCTGCGATAAATCGATCAACGGTACGCCGACCCATACTCCTCTGTTTTGTACCTTATCTTAAGACAAGATATTCTGGAAATATCACGACTAACGTTACCAGGACGCTCACTCATGATTACTCCGAGGTCCTTTGCCAAGGAGGGATTCGTGGACGTAAACAAAGAAGACTATTCCGACCCCAAAGACGAGTACTTTGCAAAGAAGCAAGCGTCGCAGTTGGTCATCATTGAAGATAAATGGTTGGATGACTACAAAGTGAGAATTTATAAAGATTGAGTCGCATTTCACTGCTGACTCTGTGCAGAGACAGGGTCAAGGGCGGAGATTATGAGTAGCAGCATTTACTATACGGGCGTATACGCTCTCGTCTTGGAATAAACTCAGTTTAAATTGCTTCGTTGAGCATTAATTAATCAATCGCCGAAAACTTCCGTGTAGCTCCGGCTTCTCAGGCGTGTTTCGTACGCCTGTATAGCTCCATACGATAACAGGAGAATGCTTCGGTGCAAATTAAACGACCATTCGGTCCACGGGTATGTCCGGCTATGTCGGCAACGTCCAGCCGGACGGCAGATCCCAGCGAGAAGTAATAATTAGGTCGAATCTAGCGCATATACGTATAAAGTAGTCTTCACCAAGGTATACAACATAGATCAACACACCATGACAGTTTCTGCAAGCATTAATATCCCGTCGTCCATGTACGCATGGAGGAAGCACAAGGGGAACCCCGAGCCTGTGAGTAACCCCAAACTTACTAACAGAAACTATTGCTGATAACCACGCTGGTCTGGGAAGAAGTTCCTGTCCCCGAAACTCCCAAGGGAGGATTCCTAGTGAAGTTGCTAGCTTCTGGGGGTGAGTATTCGATAGTTGTTGGGCTCCGACATGACCTTCAACAAAATGATGCTGATATTTGCTTGTTAGTGTGCCATAGCGACCACTCACTTCTCACGAATGAAAAACAGCGCCCTTGGTTTCAAGAGAAATACATCTTGGTATGCTGATGACGTCCCATTCATGAGATACAGAGGATTTGACAGACTGACAGAACCCCTCGTTCCAAGGGTCATGAAGGATGTGGCGAGATTGTTCAGATAGGTGACCAAGTGAAAGACGCCGGCTTCAACGTGGTAAGTTCTGAAAGCTGTACCCGAGAAGACAAAACAGGCCTAACAAAACTTTGTAGGGAGATCGGATTGCGACTATCGCCGTCCCTGGCTGTGGCTCAGAGGACTGCACAGAGTGCTCACGAGATCTCGCTCAGCTGTGCCAGAACGCCCACCACGCCGGTATTGGTCAGGACGGCTTCTATGCACCGTACGCCGCGCTAGACCTTCGAGCAGCGGTTCACGTCCCGGGCGGTTCGTTTCCATGATTATCTTGTGCGACTCGATCTAACAAAATCGCAGGAATTCCATCTTCCATAGCAGCAGTGGCAACAGATGCTGTGAAGACGAGCTATCACGCAATCGTAAGACGTGCAGAGGTCAGGTCTAACGAGACGGTCTTTCTGTTCGGGCTCGGAGGTCTCGGGTTTAATGCGTTGCAAATTGTTCTGCATATCGGGGCTAGAGTCATCGTGTCTGATATTCGACAAGAACGTCTGGAGGAGGCTGCAAAGTGGGGCGTTGCTCGAGAAGATCTGGTACCGGCTGGGAAGTCAGTACAGGAATTTGTGCGCGAGAACAGGTTGCAGGGGAAGATTGACACCACCTTGGATTTTGTGGGCACTCACCAGACTTTCCAGGATGCGCAGAATATCGGTATGTATTCTTCGATGAAATTTCATGGTTTTGGGCGTTAACCATTTCGTAGTTCGCAGAGGAGGAAAGCTTTTGTGTGTTGGTACTCTCGATGACGAGAACACAGTCGACATGAAGATTGGCATTCAGAAGAGACTGAGCATTATCTTCACGTACGGTGGGCAATGGAGAGATTTAAAGGAAGTCCTCGATTTGATCTCGAAGGGAATAATTCAGCCACAGGTTGAGACTGCTGCTTTGAAGAAATTTCCCCAGGTCTTGAAGAGTGTTTGCGAAGGAAAGGTCAAAGCCCGGGTTGCCCTATTGCATGAGTAACATCACAGCTATAGCACCTTGGACAATACTGTTTGCATATATATCACATTATATTTGTTAATCCCACTGCATGCTGTTCATTGTATTGGATGATGTGACTTTATCAGAAATAGCCCCCAATTACCCAAAATCTCGCTGCCCGAGTATTTGAACCTTTTCATCATACTATATTCTTTATCCTCAAGAACTAAACGATAAGCTCTGGAAGCTAATAGGCTGTAAGACATTTTGTGAGAAAAATATGATCTTAAAGCGGAATTGGCCGTTCTGTCTATGTAGACGAATAGAGCGGTATATATTTCGACACTGGCTAATGGAATATCCTAGAATAGTGATATCTTATAGTCTTAGAAGAATGACCTTTACAAGCCTTTTGATTTCCAAAAGGGTTCCAAGTCCCTCAACCAAGTCCACTTGACATTCTGTGCCCACCCCTTCTCCTTCCAAGCATTGAGACTCAATGGGAAGTGGTCTACCCCATCTCTAACAGTTGCATCATGTGCAATGATAACAAATATGTTCTCGTCACAGTCCAATTCTTGCAGTTGGTCACGGGTCTTTTGTGCAAGGGGGATATCATGACCGAAACACATCTCGTACATTGTATCTGTTGGTTTCCTTCCTCTAATGTGCTGCAGATCATCGAAAACACTTCCAGGACAGAACGGGAGATCGCTTTGTGCATTATACGGGTGTGGAGTGATCTCCGGCGGCACAGGCAGATATTTCGACGGTCTAAAAATGCCCGCGTAATGGCAGATGTCTCCTCCCATCATAACGAAAGTAGGAGGATCCACAGTCGTTCGTGCTAGACCGCAAAGATGCCCAATTGCGTGTCCAGGGCTGTCTAAGAGGTAGAAGGACCCATCGCCAAAGTAATCGACGGCAGGGAATTTTCCAATACGCAGGGCATCGGGGCCATCAAATCGAATCTCGCGCAGGAATCGACCATTATAGTCACTCTCCCGGATAGGGGATTTCGGGATTGGCAGGATAGCCGGGCAACATGGCATCCTTGAACCCGGATCCAACAATTAAATCAGTGGTACTGGGGAAAGTTGATGGGTCTCCTATGTGGTCCCAATGCCAATGGCTGCAAAGTGATCGTTAGCTTTTGAAATGTTGCAATACTTCGGAAATGATTACCTCCAGATCACCGCATTAATGCTCTCTCCAGGGATCCCGTTCTCTTCCAGGATATCGACCACATTCTTTGATACTTTGATGTCGTAGTTTGTTGTTGGTATATAGTTTGCCACAGTGGGAGCATAGTTCTGATAATCCTTGCGGATTCCAAGATCAAAGACCAGCTTTTGACCTGAGGGATGTTCCAAAAGGAATGTCAAAACAGGCCCCGGTTTCTTTTTTTCCACACCGGGAACAGGAGGCTCCATGAACCGTTTGATGATAGCTGGGCCGAAATTGACCGGGTTGATCATTTTCACGCTCACCACCTCCTCACCAGGAGGCAGCTCGATGAGTGACCGGCTAGTTGTCATGGTTGAAATTGGGATATTCTATTCAGATGAAGCGAATATGATGCCTTTTCTTTATGAGACAGTGCAATCTACGAAATTGTGGGACCCCAGCCGCTCTGGGGCGGTATCGGCCGTGTTTTGACATCGGTGTTTCCAGATCGGGATAACCATGGCAACTCCCCACATCTTCGGCTCTCATCTCCTCTTCATTATTCCCCAACCTTCCATGGTTTGACCTCGTATCCGTTTGTGCTTCCCCGCATTTATGCCCCCGCATTTCGGGAACCTAGACGCTCGAAACATCACCTGCTCATCGTGGACCGCTGGACGCTTTTAATAACATCCCGGCTATATCGTCGGTAACCCTGCTAGGGACTTTCCGTCGGCTCTCTTATTATGCCTACATGATAATGACAATATTACCCACAGGACGGAGGTAAATCATGCCCAGAGATTGGCACTCAGCAGCTCGGTATGGATCTGTTCCCCAGGATTTCAGTTTGATATATCCGGGGATAAAAAGGGGCTCCCAGCCATCGCTGTGAGGCTTGCTTTAGTCTTTTACCACTCAATCTGATTCTATTCAGACATTTATCATGGGTTCAATTAAAGAACATGTCTCCCATATTTCGAGTGGCGAGGAGGGAGACTTGAAAAAGCTCGACACCGCGCACGGAGATGAAGCAATCAAGGTCCTCGCTGTGTATGACGGTGACCAGACATGGACCCCGGAAGAGGAGAACAAGCTGCGCAGGAAAATCGACATAAAGCTACTCCCTGTCCTTTGCGTCACTTATGCATTTCTTTACGCCGACAAGGTCCTGCTTGGACAAGCGGTATGACCATATCCAGGCGTACAATAATCCACGAACTGATGATATTCCCAGGCTCTTTTTGGCATCAAGGACGACCTGGGCTTGAACAGTGGAAATCGCTTCTCCATGGCCTCTTCCATCTTCTACCTTGGATTTATTTTGGGCGCTTATCCAGTCACTTTCCTGGCCCAGAGATTTCCCATTGAACGTGTTGCTTCTCTTGCCATTATTGTCTGGGGGACAACCTTGATCCTCACTCCCGCTTGTACGAACTTCCAGGGATTATACGCGCAGAGATTCTTTCTTGGCTTCACCGAGGCTGGCATAAGTCCGATTTTTATGATGATCGTCGTACGTATTCTTCACAACCGCTGTCAAACGATCTCGGCTCATCAGGATTTAGGGTGGATGGTACAAAAAAGATGAACAGTCCCTGAGAATGGGGTATGTTTCTCAACGCAATGCGGAGTTGAGCTCTAGCTGACTAGCCTTTAGTGCCTGGTACTCATGCACAGGTTACGTGTCCATTTTCTCGCCTCTTGTCAACTACGGACTTGGGCACCTCGGAGGAAGTCTTGCTCCATGGTTCTATATGTACCTTTTCGCCGGGGCTCTCACAATCATCTGTGGTGTCTTGGTCTACTTTGTCCTGCCATCCGATCCTATCCGAGCCAAGGGCTTCAATGGCAGGGAGCGTTTCATTGCGGTATCTCGCATGAGAACAAACAACTCCGGAGTCAGAAACACGCATTTCAAACGAGGCCAGGCAATTGAGCTCTTGACCGATGTCAAGTTTTGGCTTATTTTCTTCTACGCGCTGTGTGGTATGTTCGCCAATGCGCCGATCTCGACCTTCCAGGCTATAATCATTGATGGCTTTGGCTTTAACCCACTCAACTCGCTGCTTCTCATGATACCTTCTGGCGTTTATGCCGGTACCATGATGTTGATCACAACACACCTGGCTTACAAATTCCCTGGGTGGCGTGCATATCTCATCATCATGTGCCAATTGGTTACTATGGCTGCTGCTATTATGCTCTGGCTTCTGCCTCGGTCGGAGCTTGGTGCACTCCTTTTTGCCTGCTACATTCTCACGACCACCGGTGCTGGCTATGCAGTTACAATGGGTCTTTTCCTTGCGAATAACGCTGGCTACACCAAACGATCACTCGCTTCCTCGGGCTTGTATATCGGATATTCCCTTGGTAGGTCTTCCGCCACCTTATCAAGTTCCTAGCACTGATCTCCACTAGGCAATTTTGCAGGGCCCCAGGTCTTCAGACACGAAGACTCGCCTCGTTATAATCTAGGATTTATTGTGGTTGTCATCACCGCAATTGTTGCGGGCCTCCTTGTTTTGGTATACCGCGTCATCTGCTCATTGGAGAATCGACGCCGTGACAAGACGGGAACCGTGGAAGGCTTTGAACATGCTTATGAGGATGACTTGACTGATAAAATGGTGAGTCACGCGAGCTCTAAAATTTGTTTTCATTTCTTGACAGATCGACAGAATATGCAATTCAGGTATTCACTGTGAGAGTAGCGACAGTAGGCAAGTGTGGGAGATGCTGGGAACTTGAAGTATAATAGGTAGTTAGTCTTGAGCTTAGGAGCATGGGATATTTTGTCCACTATGGATCCACGCGAGTGCGATCTAATCTCTGTAGAATAAATCGTCATACCTTCAGGAGTCATATCAAATCCCTTCCTACTCCCTCGGACAGTAAATACACACATAAACCTTCAAACAGACGGCGGTCGTAACCAAGAAGTCCCGATAGTATAATACTACATAAATGAATTATCTTGAGATACCACATCAAATGGAGTGGTATTTACGGAAAATAACTGTCGTGTACATGTCATCAACTAAATCTAGCTCTATAAACGGGAACCTTTCTATATATAACCTTTGGTATCTCAACTTCTATAGTCAATAAATACACATAACCATACTGCCAGCTTTGTGAAATGTTCTGCTGGCAGAATACGATATGGCGCACTGGCGACTATACACTGCCAGGTAGGTGACTCCATAGTATAAGCAGAAATAACTTTTAGTAAAATGAAGGTAGAAAGTATAAGTATATGTTGAAGTTGCAGTTGCAGTATATAAAATAAATATTTACAATGACCAGGTTAAGGGATATCAACAACAGGAGTGCGTCCTCGTGTGTTCATCTATTTCGCTACCCAGCTCTTATCATTCCCAGTATACGCCACGGGCCCCGGCTTAGCAACCTGTACGTACCATCCCAGATCGGAATCCTCGTTCATCTCCCACTCAGTAAATCCGTTACCCAGGAAGCGGAAGGGGTTACCCGAGTTGTAGGCAATGTCATAGTGTTCTGAGCGGATCTCGCCGAGCAGGCGGCGGAACAGGATAGCGCTGCCGGCGAAAAGATGTGTGACCCGGCCGTCCACGGTGCCTCTCTTGTACCAGCTGCGACATGAGCCGGACCATACCAAAGTCTTGTGGATTTCGTCTTGGTATTTGCCGAATGCGTGCACCGACGAGGCCTTTAAAACCATGTATTTGATGTCTTCTGTGGCGATCTTCTTGATCATTTTGACAAAGTAGTCGCCGGTCCAATTCAATGCCTCGACGAGGGATCCGTGACCACAGAGGCAGTTGGGGCCGGCCATTGTGAAATAGTTGGGGAAGTCATCGGTTCCCACTGACAGGTAAGAGGTAGGCTCGTCCTTCCATTTTTGAGCGAGGTTGACACCGTTTTGGCCAACGAGGGGATATTGAGGGCACTTAGAGACGTCGAAGCCAGTGGCACAAACCACTGAGACACTGTGTTAGACATGACGTGAAGGGGGGGTGTAGTAGGCCAAGGAATGAACTTACAAACATCGCATTCAAACTCCTGCCCGTCGGCAGTGACAATACCCTTCTCGGTAATTTTCGTAATTGGGCTAGAGGTCAGACTGCAATTTGGCTTTGAGAATGACTCCAGGTAGCCAGGGCCTGGGGTCACTCGACGGCAACCGATCTCCCACTTGGGGATAAGCTGTTCGCACAGCACGGGATCATGGTTAAGCTTTTCAGCCATCTGGGCCGCTGCTAGCGCCACGGTAGTTTCATTAGGCTCTCCTTTCATGAACTAGATGACACACCAATTAGCTCTGGTCAAGTAGAGTTCAACGCTGTGTGCTTACCAAGCGGAACGCCTTATTAGTGCGGTGGATAATTCCTTTCCGGTATTCGCGATGTTGGACCGGATCGCGGAATCGCTCTTTCTCTTCTTCAAGGAATTCCGGGTTGGTGTCCTCGGTTTCCCTGCCAAGATGCTTCGAGGGCGGGACACGATAATAGACCCAAGCTGGACCACGAATGAAGTTACGCACTGTCGTACCAGGTAGTTTGGCCATTTGGGGTACAATCTGAATGCCAGATGATCCGTTGCCAATAACAGCTATCCGCTTGTTGGAGTAATCGAAGTCATGGTCCCATCGTGCGGAGTGCGTAACATGACCTTTGAAATCGGAAAGTCCATCAATCTTTGGCCATGAAGGGTTCCTGTCGAGATGTTAGATCTTTTCCTAGAGCTCACAAGAGACCAGGACTTACACCAAGTTACCTTGGCCTGAGATCAAAATGTCACAGTACTCATCACGCTCGACTCCACCGTGCTTCACAGTTATCTTCCATTTTCCTGAATCTTCCTGCCAGTAGGCACCAACAACCTGAGTTTCTAGTTGGACATCACGATCAAGGTTCCACTTCTTTACTGTTGTCTTGATGTACTCTTGAATGGCAGGTCCGCTGGAATAGAAGCGGGGCCAGTCCGGGTTAGGGTCAAATGGGAAGGCCTAGGCATGTCAGCAGAGCTCCCAACCTTGGAAGGGAGACGGTTGTCGTAAACTTACATAAATATGAGAGGGCACATCGCATTGCACGCCGGGGTAAGTATTGACTAGCCATGTTCCTCCGATGTCGCTTCGACCTTCAAAGATTGTGTGGTCAACAAAGTCCTGAAGTTCCGGGTAGGCATGTTGGAATTTGTGCGCGAGCACTAGCCCAGAGAAACCAGCGCCGATCGTGACAATACGGAGTTTGCGTGGGTTTAGAGCGTATTGGTCATTGAATGGGACTGAGTGTTCCGTGAACCGGTCGCTAGTCGTGGATTCCGGGCCATTGGTAGTTTTGTTGTTGATGCTCTCGGCGAAATGCGAAAGCAAGGTCTCTGGAAGGTCCTTCGCGTTTTTGGTGGTGAAAGTCGCAGGGGCCTTACCGTCCGCCACGGGTGACGTTTGTAGGTCTGGAGTCACGATTGATGGTGCCATTGTCGCGGGGAAGCGTTTTCAATGGAGGGTGTTGAGGGGTTGGAAAAAGTCAGTTGAACTTTTGATAACCCAAAGCTCTTCTCTTACCAAGTAAGGTAATAGACAAATTGGACTTCTTGATGCATTTCGTTGTCGCAAGCCTCTAACTTTATACTAGAACAGAAATGCGGGAGAGAACACCTGCTTCGCCTCCGTCCCTCTTTGCGCAGGCCACCAGGATGTTCCGTGCCGACAGAGCGACCCATCACGCCCCACCGGACGCCGTGACCCTGGTGAAAAGATTGCGTGCCGAAGGGTACAATCGTATGTACACCCAAAACGAACAGTAGCCGAGATGTTCTGGCGGAATGGGTGGTGACACGTGCCTTCGGCAATCTGCTTTTGGAAACACCGACATCTGTTTGTTGTCTCTCGGCTGTGGGGGACACGACAACCTTGGCCTGAAGTGAATTCCTCGTGATTCTTTGAATGACAAACTTCATGATGTCGCTCAAAGGAGATTTGGCGGTGCGGCTCATATATACGCCGACATCAGACCCGAGATAACAAACAAACCAACAACAAACAAATCCAACAGCTGCATTGTGACCTCAGAGTCTGCCACAAGATGTGTGACTTCTCAGAATACGGTGTTCCCAGCGATGAGTGGCTACGCGTGGAAGCTACTTTGCCAGCCGCAAAAGACCATAGCTTGTCTGAGCTGAAGAGAACAGCCAACGAAGGTAGAGAGGTCGTGGCGCGAAAGGCGATGGCAGAGTTTTCGAAGCAAGTCTTCATGCAAGATCAAACAATTTGTGCCCGTGATGGTTACAAATTAGAGGCGAGGAGTTATCGTCCAATCTCAGCATCCCCCACTGAGATGCTACCCATCTACATGCACTTTCACGGAGGTGGTTTTCTATTCGGTACCTTGAGCTCGGAGGATGCGATATGCTCTCGGCTTGCCGTAAACGCACATGTTGTTGTTATCAATGTCAACTATCGCCACACTCCTGAATATACGTATCCAACCGCCTGGAACGATGCCGAAGACGCGTTTCTTTGGGTCTGTGAGAACATTACTCCATTAAGCGGTGATCCGTACAAAATCGTTGTCGGTGGAATATCGGCCGGCGCATGGCTCGCTGCTTCTTTGACACAGGCAGCGTCGAGAGCAGATCTCCCAGTCTCACCAACACTACCCATCCGTGGCCAGGTACTAATGATTCCTGCTCTAGTGTACACCAAGTGTTATGAATCTCAATTGGGCCAAATAAAGGATCCTAGCCTCTCCTCATATTCTCAAAATGAGAACGCGCCGATTCTGAATATGCGTAGGAAGATGCTATTCAATGGTCTTTTACAAGTGGAAAATCCAGATCCAACGGACAAGCGGCTGAATCCGGGGCTTTTGTCTTCTGAAGACGCGAAGAAGTTGCCAGCAACAACCCTTGGGATTGCAGGTTATGATCCACTACGAGATGAAGGGCTATTATACGGGAAGCTATTAGCTGAAAATGGGTAAGCAAATGCTCAAGAGGGCTCGGTGTGTATCTCTAGCTAACGAACCTTTGAAGTGTACCGACCAATGTCAACGTCTTCAAGGGTGTGCCCCATGGATTCCGACGATTTGGGGTGAGATTATCGGTTTGCAAGCAATGGGATCAGACTATGGAAGATGGAATTCGATGGGCCTTAACAAAGCCTTCTGCCTCAGGAGAGTTTATCATTCGAGAACATTGAGCGGTATTTTTGCATACAGACATAGATTAATGGGACTAGTATGATGATTGATGGATATCTACACATTGAAGGCATATTCCTTTCGTATGGTCTTTAATAGCGGTCTTACATGTTATCTGTCTTCCCAACAAAATAGCTGTAGTATGAAGGTGTTACGATACCCAGTGCGACATTTCGCCCTGGATAAATAAAGAGGTGGTTCTCCTTGTAGAGCTACCTCGGCTGTCCTGGGAATATTCCAAGGCCTTGCCGCTTCCCCGGAATTCCCCACAAGTAAACGCGGGGTACATGGACCGATGTCGCACCCTGTGTTCGGCTCCATCGGCTATCCTAATCGGGACAGGCGAGATGAATCTTTCGGGTCATACTCCGAGACTATCGCAGCTTCTCCGTTTCATTCGGAGTTTAGAATCCAAGCCGGAGATCCGGCAAGAGTACCCCTCCAATGTCTACGGCGAATGTTTATTTATGACCACAACTCCATGCATATAGAACAGGACTTCCTGCGAAACCCTGAGATAACCATCGACAATACATCCAAGCAACCTTGGAAGGTCTTAAGCTGCTTAGAGCACCAGGCTGTACCCATCATTGTTTCTTCTTTAAGCCATGTCACCTCCCGCAGCAATTATAGAGCCAATGGCTTCAGTTATGAAGCCCGGTATCCAGAATGGCTATAGTAACAAATCCATCAATAGCGCTCATCAGCATCGCCTCAACCCTGAGTATACCATTATTGAACAGCCCATTGGCACCCGGAGGCCACTTCGAGTTGTTTGCCTCGGCGCAGGGTACTCTGGCCTTATGATGGGTATTGTCTTCAATGAACGCATGAAGGATGCCAATGCAGAGTTTGTTATTTATGAGCGGAACGCTGATTTGGGAGGAACTTGGTATGAGAACCGGTAAGTTCTATGAGGCCTAGGCTACATCTGTGACCTTGTCGTAGCTAATGCGCCGATTGCAGATACCCGGGATGTCAGTGTGATATCCCAGCGCATAACTATGCCTACAGCTTTGCTGCCAACCCGGCGTGGCCAAATTATTACGCGACGTCAGAGCAGATCCATTCCTACATGAAAGATGTAGCCAAGCAATACGAAGTTGAAAAATATATTCGTCTTCAACATTCAGTCGAGTCTGCTATTTGGAATGAAGAGAAGGGAAAGTGGGAACTCCAGATCAGAAATGGAGCTACTCTGATCCGAGACGAATGCGATGTCTTCATCAATGCCAGCGGTGTATTGAAGTGTGTAATCCCTTTCTAATATTTTCCCGTGCGGGTGCTAATATGATAAAATCACAGCAATTGGAAGTGGCCCTCAATTGAAGGTCTAGACCGTTTTAAAGGAAGACTGATGCACTCGGCGCACTGGGATTCCAGCTACGACTTTACCGGAAAACGCGTTGCCTGCATCGGAATTGGATCGTCGGGCATTCAGATTGTCCCTAAGCTTGCCAGTGGTATGTTTTCACGCATATTTCATCAAACCTATCAGAAAGCTGACTTTGCTAGTCGTCGGGAATATGGACTGCTACGTACGGAGCCAAACGTGGATCAGCCCAGCGCCTGGAATCAACGAGCCGACAGCAAATGATCCAGAAATGGACAAGGATTATAATTTTGCAGAAAGCACCTTGGAGCTGTTCAAGGACCCTAAAGTCCTTCGTGATTATCGTGCTGCCATTATGAACCGAAGGGCGGAAAACTTCAATCGGGTGATTGCTGATTGTGACCTTCAGCAACAAGCTCAAGAGCTCTTCCGAAAATCCATGACCGACCGTTTGGGTGACAGTGAAAAGGGAAAGCGCGCAGCTGAACTTCTCATTCCATCCTTCCCAGTGGGATGCCGTCGCCAAACACCCGGACCTGGTTTTCTGGAAGCTATTATCCAGGACAATGTCGAGTTGAGATGGGATGATATCTCAAATATCACCGAGCGAGGAATCCTTACACGAAGCGGCGTGGAGTTAGAATATGACATTATTGTTTGCGCGACAGGCTTTGACACTTCGTTCAAGCCTTCATTCCCACTCGTGGGCCGAAACGGAGTGAACATGGCGGAGAAGTGGGAAAAGGACGTCCCGAAGGCATACATGGGCATGTGCGTGCCGGACTTCCCCAACTACTTCTGTATGTTTCTCTCCCGTCCAGCGTGAATTATTTTAACTTACATGTTCAGGCTTCGTGGGACCAAATTCACCGCTTGCAAACGGGTCATTGATTCTCGGTATCCAAGCAACGGCCGCTTATATCTACAAATGGATGGAGAAGATGCAAACAGAAGGTGTGCGCAGCTTTGAGGTTGACGACGACGTCAACGAGGAGTATAATCAGCACATCCAGAAGTACCTTGAACGTACAGTGTGGACTCGAGATTGCCGCAGTTGGTACAAGCGTGGTACCGTCGATGGCCCAGTCATCGCCATCTACGGCGGATCCATCTTCCACCTCTTGGAGGCTATGAAGAATCCGCGCTGGGAGGATTTCAAGATGGATCGAACCCCTGAGGCCAAGATCAACCGGTTTTCTTATCTTGGTAATGGGACCACTCTGAGAGAGGCCAAGGGAGGTGATATCGGTGCCACGCAGACACTAGACTTTGATGAGTTCTGGAACCTGTTTGTCCTCCCACAGGTCCACGACTAGATGGTGCAAAGGGAAAGTTGTATATATAACTGCAATGTTTTGTTAATCTTCTGTTCTGAAATCTCCAAGTACATAGGGTCTAGATAGGTAAACATGATTAGTTGGTTGCTTGATCATCACAACCCACGAGGCGGGGTAGATGGGCACGGATGGTATCTACTAGCTATATGAGGAATGTCTGACATCATTTTTCCGACTAACCTTCCAGCTAGGTATCTCTTTTGTATTGTTCTGCTGTAGGGAGTTGGTGGTCGTCTTATCATATGACACCCGGGAACAAGAAGACAAAGAAGGGGGGGTGGGGGAAGACATGAAGGCCAGATATATTTCAAGTACTCATCCCATGAAAGAACATATACTGAGCGAGCCAGTATAGACCCATGAGACTTGCAAAAGATCTCCTCGCCCATAGGTATAGCCAAGTCAATCCAGCGGAGAAACTTTTCTTAATTGTACTATTAATTGCACCTATAGGGACTCACGAAGGTCGACTCTATGGGTAAACCAAGTGTCTTTTCCTTGCTTTTTGTAATAATCAACAGCTTCAACTGCCGCGAAATAGTTCCGATCCTACATCTTTACTCCGAGGGAATCTTATATCACACCCTATAGGTATAGTCGGGAAGCTTCAGGTCACTAAAAGCCGATTAGGAATCTTGCCCACTCCTTAGAGTTGTTTACTTGTTGTATTCTACCACAATAGGCTTTAACCCCCACCCTCTGGCTTGTCCAGCCTATAAGTACGTTATTCAATCAATACCCGACGTGGAGAAGAATTGGCTAATTGCCGATGAATGGGGTGTGTGCACCATACATAGATGCCGAACTGCCGACCCACCCCCGCAAAAAAGCATTGTATATCTTGGGCCCCGGACTTGCTATCTTGGCAAACCCCGACTCGAGCATTGATGTACATAACAACTTGCCTCGTGGTTGACCCCGTGCCTTACAACCTTGTCAATATGCCAAGCTAGTCAATCACCGACGTGGAGGTATTTGGCATCTCAGTTGCCGGCTTGCTCCCTGGAAAATTAGTGTATATCTGACGAATTTGCCAGCCATCATGCCTCAACCAGCTCAGAACGATCTTTGTATCAAGGGTGGCTTTTGTACACCTCGGTCAATAACATACGATATTCGGTCATCATGAAATTCCTAACGGGATTGTCGTTATTATCCCTTATTCCTTCTTCGTTTGCTGTCCCTACAGCCAGCCATCATCGACGTAATGAGTTAGCGCATACCGAACAGCCTTTGATTAAGCTAAAGCCTCAACGAACTTCCTCCCGAGAGCTTGTGAACCTGGATGGCCTATGGAAATTCACCCTCGCTTCCGGTGCAAACGACACATCCCAGCCATGGACGGCGCCATTTCCCAGGGGGTATCTGGAATGTCCGGTCCCAGCATCTTACAATGATATCTTCGTCGATCGGGACATCCACGACCATGTCGGATGGGTGTATTACCAGCGCGATGTTTTCGTCCCAAAGGGCTGGTCCAAGGAGCAATATTTCGTGCGAGCTGAATCCGCTACCCATCACGGTCGTATCTATGTAAATGACCGTCTGCTCGCCGAGCATGTGGGTGGTTATACACCTTTCGAAGCCGATATCACGGAGTTTGTCACTGCTGGGGAGAAGTTCCGCTTGACAATTGGTGTCAACAACGAACTCACCCACGAGACAATCCCACCTGGAAAGATCGAGATAGGCGAGGGCACTGGCAAGAGAATCCAGACCTACAACCATGACTTCTACAACTATGCTGGTCTTGCCCGCTCTGTTTGGTTGTATTCCGTGCCTCGTCAACATATCGAGGACATTACCGTTGTCACAGATGTTGAAGGTGAAACAGGACTCATCAACTACAAGATCAAAGTGGCCAGCAATTCGACTGAGCAGATCAGGGTTTCCGTTATTGACGAGGATGGAGTCGTTGTTGCAAATTCCTCTGGAGCTCAGGGTACCGTCAAGATCAACTCGGTCAAGCTGTGGCAACCCGGCGCCGCCTACCTTTACCAATTCGAGGCCAGCATTCTCGATTCCGGCGGCAAGGTCGTCGACACCTACAGCTTAGCCACGGGTGTGCGCACCGTCAAGGTCAGCGGGTCGAAGTTCCTGATCAACGACAAGCCCTTCTACTTTACCGGATTTGGAAAACACGAAGACACTGCAATCCGCGGCAAGGGACACGACCAAGCATACATGGTTCACGATTTCCAACTGATGGACTGGATTGGTGCAAACTCTTTCCGAACCTCACACTACCCTTACGCGGAAGAGGTCATGGATTTCGCAGACCGACACGGAATTGTCGTGGTCGATGAAACACCCGCCGTGGGTCTGAACATTGGGTTGCTAGGTTTTTCCGGAGGCGAAGCACCCAAAACCTTTTCTCAAGACAATATAAACAACAATACCCAGAAGGCTCACGAGCAATCAATTCGTGAACTTATTAGTCGGGACAAGAACCACGCCAGTGTTGTTATGTGGTCTATTGCCAACGAGCCTGCCTCCCAAGAAGATGGAGCGCGCGAATACTTCGAGCCGCTGGTCAAGTTGACCCGCGAGCTTGATCCAACTCGTCCTGTTACATTCGCGAATGTCGGCGACGCAACATACGAACTGGATCTGATTTCCGATCTGTTTGATGTTGATTGTCTGAACCGCTATTTCGGGTGGTATTCTGAAACAGGAGACCTCGAGGAGGCAGAGATAGCGCTGGAAAAGGAACTGCGTGGTTGGGAAAAGAAATTCAACAAGCCGATTATCATGAGCGAGTATGGCGCAGATACCATTGCCGGTTTACACTCCACCCTTGGCCTGCCTTGGAGTGAAGAGTTCCAGGAGCAAATGCTCGACATGTATCATCGGGTCTTTGACCGTTTGGAGTCCATGGCTGGCGAACATGTTTGGAACTTTGCTGATTTCCAGACGACTATTGGTACCATGCGGGTGGATGGGAATAAGAAGGGTGTGTTTACTAGAGACCGAAAGCCAAAGATGGCTGCACATGGTCTGAAGGCGAGGTGGACAAATATCACCGCAAGTCGGTAAAGCCATCCATGGATGTTACCAAATGGAATTGTTTGCTTAGGTACATATGAGTATATATGACAATGTCCGATTCTAAATTGCGATCAATGTCAACTTCTATCCGCACGTATATATGGCCGGGATATCAGGCAAGGAATACTAAACAATACGGCGCCAATCCTTAAGTCGAAACATCTTTAAAATGAACAAATTGGCCGGGTATAATATTGACGTAACTGCAGCAGGAAATAGAATCCTGTGTCCAGATGGCTCATATCATAAGGACAGCTACCCACCCGGTAACTAAAACCCTAAACATACATGTGTGCAATAAAACAGTGCTCGTAGTTACATTCATGCCGAACTTTCACCAGCAGACTCGTGAGGTTGAGACACTGAAGGCGATCGCTTATCATTACCGCCCTTCCTGCGCCCAATGCCAACCAGCTGCAGCATTTCTCTCCAGAAGCCAGTAGGCGGGTCAAGGAAGCTGTCCTCGTACGCATCGATCAGGGGTCGTTCCCAGACAAGGTCGGCTTCATGAGCCTTAACGAACTTTGTCTTCTTGATGAACTTCCAGATGAGGAAGAGGGGAGGGATGACGATTTGCATGGTGTAGTTCGACCAGAAGGTGGACACGGACCACGGCTTGTATGCGGGGTAGCCGTAGACGATGGTCACGACGATCATCCAGACGAATGCGATGTATGCGCAGCAGGGTTGGAGACGTCCGAAATAGGAGAGAGATCTGCGGTCAAGTCCCTGTGCTTTGCAAGCGCGGTGGAAGAAAATGTACGTCAGGGTAATGACGATGTAGTTGATGAGACCTGGTCATGTTGTTAGTATTATAATTATTGTTGGAATCCATGGGTGAATTCCAGTGTGGTTCCTTACCTCCGGCAGTAACCAGCGCAGCGAACCACGTGATGACGATGGACGAGCTACTGGAACATTGCAAAAAGGAAAGCATAGGGAAGATCATCACGACACAGAAGCAATAGATGGGTACACCATTGCGCGTGGTGTAAGTGAGAACTCTAGGGGCTCTTCCTTCTAGTGCTAAGCCGTACAGAGTACGGATAGCGCAGTAAGTGTAAGTATTGCCAGCAGAGAAAATCGAAGTCAACAAGAGGCTAAAAGAGTTTCGTTAGTCTTCTGTTTGTCAACTCAATGTTTCGTTTTGGTGGCACTGACGCGTTGATGATCGAAGGGAAGATTGAAATGCCCAGGTTTCGCATGCCAATGACATACGGGGATGCCGAAGCGGAACCATCAGAACCGCCCGTCACAACCGACTCCAGCTGGGGATCATTAGCTGCGCAAACGATACCCACGGCCAAGGCACCGCCCATAAAGAAAAGACCGAATCGAATGTAGACTGTCTTAAACGCATTCTTGATATAAATGCGGGGACGTTTTGCTTCAGCTGCGACCATGGAGATATACTCAGGACCGACAACGGCAAAGCAAGCCGACCAAAGAGACCCGAGGAAGCCCTCAAAACGACCAAGGGCGCCGGTATCCAGGTACTCCATGAAAGCGCCGGGGTTGTTCCAGTGGCGGAAGCCATAAGCATCATGCGCCGGATTTCCACCAACCATAGTGATGAAGGTGAAAAAGAACAGGGAGAAGATCAGAATGACCTTGCCACCGGACAGCCAGAATTCGGCTTCACCATAAGCTTTGACAGCTAAGACGTTAAGGAAGCTACACGAGAATCAGTAGGATGAAACACGCAAATGGGCGGAAGAGGTTCTCACCCATAAATCAAGATAACACCCACACAGACGCCTGCCACTGGACCAGGTTCAGTAAGCGTCGGGCTCCAGAAAGACAACACCAGCGTGAAAGCTGAGATCTCAAATGGAACCAGAAGGGCCTCATAGAAGCTAAGAGAAGTGTTAGCAAAGACAGTAGGCAAGGCTTTGGCGAGGCCGAAAAGAGAACGGACAAAAAGTTCCAGCCGACCATGAAGCCAAGAGCGTCGTCGACCCATTTTCCAGCCAAGCGAATGAAACCACCACTGACAGGGAAGGCAGTGGTCATTTCAGCGAGGCAGTTATTCACCATGGCCAGGAAGATACATTGAACGGTGAAGGCAATAAACAAGCTGCCTGGGCCACCATGGTAAAGACCGGAGCCGATGCTCACGAAAAGGGCCGTTCCGATAGAACCACCAATGGCGATCAGCTGGATCTGACGGTTCCCAAGATGACGTTGAAGGTTGTCGGCATTTCCAGTTATCACACCTTCTTGTACATCACGGGGGCCCTCATTTTTGAGTCCGAGTGCTTCCGACACACTGCCGCTCGTTTCTTTGTCCTTGTCGCTTAGGATAGCCATTTTGTTTTCATTCCTGTCTGTGGTGTTTAGCGGCTGATACGGTGTGAATAAGGCGCGGGCGGAAGAAACTGGATGGACTAATGTCGTTTATCCGTCTAGATTTGGGGTATGGGTTCTGCAAATGTGTGGATCGGCGAAAATCCGGGGGTGGATCTGCTACAGAAGTGGGATGCCGGGCTGATGTCGGGCTATGTCGCGATGGTCTGGAATCCGCGGTGTGCGCAGTGAATGTATTGTTGCTATGGATGTTGAGATGTGGAAGGTGCAATGGCAAAGGCAAATGTCGGAGATGCCGTGTCTCTAGTATAGGATTTCCGTCGAATACGGAGTTTAGCGGAGAGTTGGAACTTTCAGAAGAACGAGAATATTTGGAGAAGTAAAAAAGAATGCAGTCAGAATCGTATGCAAGATACCAGAGACATTTAATAAAGAAACTCCGGGGCAAAAAACGTGGGAAGAAAAAGGAAAACTCAAAAGGCTCATTTAACTCGAGGGAAGATTAGCCAGATTAGCGCAAGAAAGCCCCATGTCAGCCATTCAAGCCATACAAAAGCCATACCCAGCCGTAATGACGCAGTTCAGATGGTTACTTTGGATATCTCTCCAAGTTGATTGGTTTGGAATATATAATGGTCCCCGCACGGGGCTGTGACTTAACCCGCATCCGGACACGAGCCGGGCGTGGGTCTTCTTTTTTTTTTATCTTTGGATTTTACTACCTAAACGGTCTTAGATGCACCCCATCCAAGGGTTATGGGTCCCTAACTCAGTTATCACCTTCGGCTGGGCTACGGCTGGGGCCCGGCTGGGATCGGGGTGTCCGAGTCTCAGTGTGCACGCTCCCCTCGGCCAAGACTGCATGTTCGCACCCGGTTGCATCCAATGTCCCATTTTATCTGATTTTACGAGTTGCCTTAAACCATCGAGTTCCGTATGTGTTCATATCAGTCTTGGCAACCTTACACAAATGGCCTGATCGCGTGCGCTCGCTGGTCCTTTCCAGCATCGAAACCTCAGGGGCGAATGGGAGTGACCTCGGGAGCCCTGGAGGTCATCTGGACAACCTTATCTCGCATATTATGTAATCTCCCCAGATAACCTTGGAACCCTCAAGCCCTGGAGATAACCAAGGTTCACTTGCACAACTGCACAACTTCCTGTGATATGAAAATCCCAGGATTATTCTGCCTAAAAGACACACCGAAAAACGTAATATCAAGCAGAACCGTGGAATTTGCATGTCACACTAACTGGATACGAGCATATGCCAAGGCACGGTTCGGTCAGGGTCTGATTGGTCAAATTGATTCGACCTGTAACAATTCCAAGGTTCCACTTATAACCCCAGATCCTCTCTGCCTTTGGTTTGAGACTTCAAAAAACCAAGCCATTCCGGAATACTTGGTCTGGGAAACATTCAGATAAATATTGTATAAATGTTGTATAAAGGAAGATATGAGCATGATGGAAATCAGCATAATGGAAATATGTTGGTCAATTAGTTTGGCACGTCTCTCCATTTCTCTACCTATGTATGCTTTATTTGATTTGTGGAAAAGCAAAATATGCGAATGTTTACTGGTACTCTGCCGTGTGAACACTTCGGTATATATTGCGTGCCTGGATCTGCATCTGGACCCTGATCAACGGATTGAGATCGTGGACCGAGTCCTGGTCTTACCCTGACCTGCTACATAGCCAAAGCCTCAATCACTAATTGGTTAGTCGAACAAATCTTAACTCATAGTGTTCAATTGCCTAATTAGTCCATTGCTGTTCTGACATACAACATAGAGTACATAACTTTTCTCCAGCAGAGACATAGTAATGCACCGCGATGTACGGAGCATTAGTCCCACCTGTGGACGCTAATCCGACAAAACTGGGGATGACTTTTCAAGTCACGTGAGCAATTTCCGGGGTTGCTTTGAAATTCCCTCGCCACAAGAGGCTGAGCCCAGGAACACGGAATCACGTGATACCGCTCCTTGTCAACTCCCGAGGTCGGCGACTAGGAAAAGTTTGCTAAGAGTTGACTCAACAATGTCTCCGTGTTCGATGTTGTTGAAGCGCGTGGCTAGGCCTCCGGCCTCCACGACGTGCAGACTGGTGAGTACAGCTTCGTCCCATGATCACCCAATTCATCCTGACTCCCCCAGGTTCGGCCTCGGTGGGCTCCGTCCATCGGCGTCCCAAGCAGGACAATTCATCATCCCTTGCGATCGGTCTCGAAATCCCCCTCTACTCGCGCGCTGAGCACGACGGCATCCGCTCGGGTCGAAGGATTCCACTCACAACTCGAGAATGCCTCAATTCCTTTCTCTGAGACTCCCTCCGAGAAGCGGACGCCGCAAACCCTGACGGAGAAGATTGTACAGCGCTATGCTGTCGGTCTCCCCGAAGGAAAGCTCGTTCGGAGCGGCGATTATATCAGTCTGGCTCCCGGGTATTGCATGACTCACGACAACTCGTGGCCCGTCGCCCTCAAGTTCATGTCTATGGGAGCTACGAAGGTTCACCGTCCCGAGCAAATCGTCATGACGCTCGACCACGACGTCCAAAACACCAGCGCAGCGAACCTGAAGAAATACGAGCAGATCGAGACTTTTGCTGGACAGCATGGTATCGACTTCTATCCTGCGGGCCGGGGTATTGGACACCAGGTTATGGTGGAAGAA